AACAGGAAGCATACAGTATGGAACAAATAGATACAGGCTTTATTGACAGAATGGCGTTGATACAAAAAAACTTTCTATGCTAGAGGCACAGCAACAAACCAAAGAGCCTTAATGAGGGATATGACCACCTCTAACTGCAATGATTGCATTGCACCGTCTGTCGATACTGAACACCAGGTTATCTAACAATTCTTGATGTTGTAGAGACATTAGGATATTCTTTGGAAGCAGGCAAGATGAAAAATGAGCAAACGCCTTCGCCGGGAATCGAACCACGGACCTTTTGGAATACCGGCCTAGAATGCAGAAACCACTACACCACGAAGGCACGCTAGGAAAGCGGGAGAAATACCTTATAATGTAAAAGTTCTCTTCCTTGAAACAGCATGTTTTAATGATCAGATGTTCCCCGAAAGGTAAGATCGTGCCGCTAGGCGCATCTTTAAAGTATCTCATACATGTTCAGTGCTGTTTAAATCAGGCAGCACGCTGGCCAGTCCATTTTGTGAATATCCTCATTTTTTAGGAGCTCTTCAACAGCATAAGTACTGAGTGACTGCGCATTGTCATCCATAAATGGACCAATGCCATCCCGGAAAAGATGCATGAGGGAAAGTATAACTTCATCACAGTAAAGATTACCGGTAAGTGTTACTTTGTCGAAAGTGTAGTGGTCCATCTGCCAGTTCATCATAATGCCTCCCCACACAAGGACACCAGGATTACCCCAGCGTCTTTCCCCTTGATGTTAGTGCGATGAATGCGTGTCTCTACCACTTTCCATATGAACTGGAACAGAGTATCGTTTTTCAGACTGAAACGAGTCTCATTGTTAAAAACAATGTTACTCCAGTGATGAGGTGTTCAGTCTTTTATGCTCTCTACACCGTTGTAAACCAAGGGGCCCATTGGCTGCTGTCAATAGTATGCAGCGTTCAAGACGGCGGGTGAATACGATATATTAATGAAGTCGCCTGGTACAGTAAGCCGGGACATCTACCATCCAGTTGCAACTGCTGAGCAGTGTTGCCCGCTGTACGGTTTCGATATCGGCTATCAGTCACCGTTGTTCTCCTTGGACGAACACCACCAAATTTTCTTACAGCAAAGACTGTCAACTGGAAAGGGTCTGAAACATTTTTTAATAGCCGGGCGCTTTATTTAATAGCCTTAAGCCTTGCGCCGCTACAAGGGCCTGAAGTGGTGGCCATTTTATTACGGAAGCACCTAATGGGTGGCCACTGTTGCCTCTTATGAAGAGACGACAGTTACAACCATGCCTTCTCAGGGATTCGGACCGGGCCCGTCGCAGTCAGGGTCTGTAATCACTACACCGGATGGGCGGAAAGCGTCTAAAAGAACACTTATCAATTCTAAACTCTTATACGGCAGATGTCAAACTATGCCCCTCCTCAAACTTGCCAGTCATTCTACCACATGTAAAAGTGACGTCCACATGACTACGCTAGCGATGTAAATCGAACAACGAAACACACACGTCGCCGGCGGAAAGTCGTACAAACGAACACGCGAATGAAGTCTGCATGTAGCCAATAGAATTACTGAAGAGAAAAAAAAGGGCTTAAAGTTATTTTGGCTTGTGTAGCGGCCGCTACACAAAGCCAAAATAACAAGACATAAAATTGCTCAAACTGGGTATCCATGTACACATCAACCTATTTTCACTTAAAAAAAAAAATCAGAGAATTGCACAAACTAGGCATTGTGCACTCCCTTGACTTTGTCCACATACATATTGAACTATATTCACTTAAAAAGTCAAAGGAGCAGCCAACAAAAAATATATAATCTCAATAAACTATATTTTAAACCAAACAATGAAATAACATAAAAAAGGAAATTCATCTTTGCATTACACAAAGGAAATATCCACTTAAGTTATTTACGAATTAACATGTCTTCAGTCAAACAAAATTCCTTAACAGCATCCAAAAACTTCCTAAAATTACCTGAGCTAGAATCTGTATACTGGCGTCGCAACATAAATTCACGGAATAATAATAAAAAATATCCTCTGTAGCGCCGTTATCGTCCGACGTTTGACTATACGCATTTCCTTCCTACAAACAGGACACTTAATAATGGCTACTAAGTAAACCTTCATTTACACACCAGTCAAGTAATGCTCTTTTTCCCCTTTCTTTCCAAATCGTACAGAACAGAAACTTGAAATTAATCTTACCACATTCAGCCATTTTACCGTCACAAAACAAGCACTATACTTCCTAATCTACACACACCACAAGCCCTTACGAATTTACCGCAATCATGCAACCGATTACGCCATAATAGGGTTTCCATAACATTCAACTACTCAGGCTACCATAAATGAAACTACAACTTGGCGATAAATGAAACAGACAATAATGAACAATGATAAATGAAACAATGTTTTGTTAATGCTGTGATATATTATTTTAATATTAATTTCGCTAAAATATTTAAACACTCAATCATTATGTATTACCCTGTAAAAGAACATTGTTTTTTTTATTCTCTTAGACAAAAATGTCGCAAGTTGCTTCCTGTGTCCAACATTAAGGTGTGTGTGTGTATTGAGAATACGGCAAAGCACACTAGGGCTATCTGCCTAAGGGGAGGGATGTCTTTCGTGGAGGACTTTCTAAGGGAAACTGGCTCGTATACACGTTACACATGGGGAAAACCACGAAACGCCCATGCAGCCAGCCCGTTCGCGGGATTCGAACCTCGGACCGAACTACCAGTGTTCAGCGATTTTAACGCTCGGCCGCTTGTGGGCCCCTGTCCCCAACAGATCAGTTATCATGCACAACTTGATAATACAAGGGGTACCCTTTTTCTACTCTAACCGAAGATAGGTTCCGCACAAAACCTCGTAAATCGAAATCTTGAATGTTGCTATGGAAAACCGTGTAAAAGGGAAAACACACTAAATGTGCATAATTTAGCTATTTATTTACATAAAACAAAAGTAAGACATCATAAAATAAATAAAGTTATACTTCGTTCATAAAATAACAAATATATATAGGTAAATAGAAGTTAATTTATTTTACATTAGGAAAATATAAGACTCAAAAATTATTATAAGTTTAATCACTGTCATCACTTTCATGAACTATTAGTTTTTCTTATTAATTGGTATGATGTCACTTTCATCACTTGAGCGTTCTCGAAGAGATTCTGCTTCAGTGATTGACGAATTAGGAAAGATCTCAGATCGACAAGACTTTGTAATGAAATCCGTAAGTAACAATTGCATAGGGTTTTTTTCCCCCTAAACCTTTGTAAACCCCTTCATATTGATTTAAGTACTTATTAAGCTCCCGTTGGAATTGGGAAGCTCGTTCAACATTCGCGTCATATTGTACAAAATGATTACCCAGTCTTCTTCCCAATTTAAGTACTACGCTCATGATTCCTGCTGTGAACGCAAACGGTTCAGATTGCTCTTCATCGTGTTTATTTCTTTCACGAATCATGTTAACTAACTCATCCTCATTTAGTTCTTCATCAACCATTATTTCTTCAATATCTTGCTTGAGCTTAATCCTCAAAATCTTCTCTTCCTATAGTTTAGACCAATTTAGTGATCGGAGAATATTCATGCTGTAATGGTTATCTATCATTCTCATCTTTAGCAGCATTCAGCCATATTGCTTTCCAGCATACGTTGAGCATTGATTGTTAAATCTGCGTATATGACAGTTCAACATGCTTAACCCAACCTAAGATTGTAAATTTCTTCCAAGCATCCATAAGAGTAAGAGATTAATCATTCTCCATTTGTTCTAAAACATATGCCAAAAAATAAAATAAAAATGGCACAAAAATATAAATGTTGAAAACTTACCAGTAAGCATTCAAATATGTAGATAAAAATGATGTAAGCTTTGCTGCTAAAATACTGATACTTCCATTAGTTAACATGAAACATTATAGCTTTTATGCTGTGAAATACATATACATACTACGGTGATTGCTGTTTTACAGCACGGGGAACCATCCTTGTTGTTACCACCAGTGTTACCAAAGGAATGAGATTCAAAAATGACTTCAAGTATATGCATTTGCGTATATGCAGCCGAATATACATTTTTACCAAGTTTTTGAAATCCGTTAATTTTTAAACAGTGTAAAACTGAAATCGTGTAAAACGAGTACCGTGTAAATCGAGGGATAGGTATACTCTGTCACAGTCAACTGCTTTATTTAAAAGTTGTTATTTTGTTGAAGTTAGTCGATACTGAGATATTTACATAGCTTTTTGTTACTAATGAAATAGTGAACATTTGTAAGAACGAAATGATACAGTTCAGAGCGATTTATAAAAAGAGGTTACTATTCTTTAGTCAGGAAGAAAAAACCAAATTAAAACACAGATTGCCAGCAAGTTAAAATTAAAATTTTGATTTACATATTTTTAGCTTATATTTATATTTGTCATTTTTTGTGCTTGTTCTTTCAGTTCTAACAAGGTGAGCTAAAAGGCAAATTTGTTCGATACAAAGGTATTCGTTGCTTATTTCTTTAAATGCGTTATGAACTTTTTAACTCATAAAAACTCCTAGTTTCCATTGCAGTTCATTGAATAGATTTAATCAAGTATCACGCATATGATGGAACTGATAACGAAGAAATGAAGATTAAATCCATAAATTCCATTGAAGAACAAGCTGAATAATTTCTTTTGTTTTGTTAATGCTGTGATATATTATTTTAATATTAATTTCACTAAGATATTTAAACACTCAATCATTATGTATTACCCTGTAAAAGAACATTGTTTTTTTATTCTCTTAGACAAAATGTCGCAAGTTGCTTCCTGTCCCCAACAGATCAGTTATCACGCGCACCTGCCCTCGCCCCCCAAAAAAAGTGAAATAAACGATTCTCAAGAATTAAGATATATATGCATCACATGTTTATATATCAGCTACATTAAAAGTTAAGCTTAAATTTCTTTATTGCAGTGAGATAAAGAATTTTATTAAGCAGTCAGTTAAAATATTTTATTTCATTCCTGATTATGAAGTACATCCACTCTACTATTAAGAAGTATAAATACGAGTAGTTTAAAAAAATAAGTTTTATTTACATAAAATTATCATGAACTTTGGCTGGAATTTTTATTTTAATGATAAAAATAATGCTTTCTGTCATTGTTCCTCAGCAGGTTACGTCAGTTTCCTTTAAAGTTTGATATTCACTGTCCTTCAAAATCAAACCATTATTGCAGCTTTTGTAGCTGAAAAAAAAAGGGCAGAATAACATATTAAAGTGGATCAGGCATATATTCAATGTATTTCAGAAATTTCCAGTGCTACTAATTATTTAGAAAAATTATTCATCACCTTGTTTTTTTTCAAAGAATTCTAAAATTAAAAAAATCTGATGAGGACACCAAATGACCTTCTTGATCGGCCTACTAAATTATTTACAGTTCTTGCTACACTTCATTTAAATTTATTTCCTCCAAATATTCTAACTTAATTAATCGATCTCTTAAAAAAGTTGAAAACAACACCAAAAATTGCAAACATTGAAATTAAATATCCCGGGTAGTTTTGTAGTACCGGAGTCAAACTTCTTATAACTTTACTTTTTCATATTTTTTCATAAAATTCTTAGATATACTATCTGGATGTATCTCAGATATACTATATTCACAAAAATGATCGGCCACTATAATTTTTTTTTTCATTTTAATAAGTAATAGGAGAAAAGCATAGAACGTTTTTTCTTTCAATACATATTTTCTTAGCTCTCTCTTTGTACTAAATGAATTTGAAAAAATTAAAGAGTAAATATAAGAAATAACGCTTTAGGCAGAAATGAAGGGAAAAAAATTGATGTGTACACCACATGACTTCTTTGCACGGAATATTAAATTATATGCATTTTTTCTTTGCATTTCATTTAAACTTACTGGATTGAATTAAATCTACGTATTTCGTCGATAGCGCATAAACCACGATAGAATAAATGTAGTTTTTTAAAATTCACTATATTTGTTTACCATAGCGACACTCTGGTGCTAGGTTCACTTAACAGCGTTACATTTCGTTCATATTATAACTCAGAATGCATATAAATTTATATCATTTGAAGAATTATCTAATCGTTGCCACATGCTCTATTCAAATACTAAAATAAATCTAAAACGATATATAAAAGAAATTAAGCAAACAAAACAAAAAAGAAACAGTTTTTCGCAGACGATTCAGTATTTCTCATTCAATTAATGTTCTCACTTCGCGACAAGGCAAAAATACAAAAAAACTTAAAATATCTATATTAAAAATTACGAAGTAAATCTTAAACACTTATTTCTTCGAATCAATTCCAGAATAGATTAAGCATGATTTAATTCGCAATAATAAAAGAAGGCGTTATCTTTGTCGTTGGGAAGCTTAGTTTCTCTAGATTGGCAACAAATTCGAAATTCTGCCAAGTTTCAAATGTAAACAAACATGTCCGCCATCACAAAATTAATTAGGCTTAGCTGCACAAACAACCTTTAAATTGTTAATAACTCCACAAATATTGCATGTACTAAAGGCACAAAAACCTTAACCGGAAGATAAGAATAACATAATTCAATCATTTCTAGAGCAAAAAATGCACAACTTACAAACATATAAGAGTAAAGAAACTGAGATCACTGAGCCGGCTAACAAAGTGGATATATATATATATATACATATATTTATATACGTTTACTTCGTACTTCGTTCGTTTACCTTTTTACTTCGTACAAGGAAGTAAAAAAGATACCACAAAATTAATCGGACATTTTTATAATATCTAATTAAAATTGTCTATAATAAATAAATAATGAAATTTTATGGAATAAGATTGGTTAAAGGAGCTAGGCAAGAATATAAAAGTCGTTTGCTTTCATAATTCGAATTCTCTTTTTAGAAAGTATTCGTTAATGTTTTCTTGCAATGGCTCGGTCATGAAAGGAAACATCCTTAGAAACCCTCAGATCAGTTATTGATATGCATACAAAAAGGAAACCTTTTAGAAAAAGTGCTTATTTACATAATTTAAGTAATTCTACAGTGTTTGATATTATTAGGCGTTATAAGATGTGGGCTTCCACCCCTTTTATTTAACAACTAAATGTGAAGGAACCTAGTGAACAGCTAAGCGAATAATCGCTTTACTTCAGTATCAGAAACGTAAACTCGAGAAGGGTTAATTACCGTCCCCCTTTCTCATGGCGTACAGCAAAGCCTCCACATGAGCTTGAACACAAGAAATAAGAATTTCACTAAAGAGACGTAGCCAAAACTACCACAAATCTAACTAGTTGGCCTCTAAATATTAAATAAACTAGCGAAGCTATCAAGAGCCTGTGTACAAATTCTTTGGTAATACGGCCGAACGTCGTAACAGCTTAGAGAGACTTAGCCAAAAGGCAAACGCGCGCTAGTCAGAAACTCTGAGGCTCTTTCTCAAAGTCAGTGAAACTTCGACTACTCTCATTCATTAAAATAACTGTTAAGAACTAAGGACAAACCTTACAAAGAAACAGAATCGTATTCAAACCAAATGAAAACCTGGAATACCATCAATCAGTTACCTGATAAATAATACGCTTCAGTTACCTGATAGAATAATACGCTTTATTCTAAGAAATAATAAAAGAATCCACGAAAGAGTGCTCCTAAACTTGTTGCGGAACTTCGTGAATGGCATGGAATATTATAAGATGTGCAATGAGATCTGTAGGATATCATGGGCAAGCAACAAGGAGAAATTTTATGTTAATTAAAAAATCCGAAAACTTCGAATCGCTTTCGCAAAATCCATGAAACAAAATCGATGACAACTGCAAAAAACCTGATGTGTACACTACATGACTTCCTTGTGCGGAATATTAAATTATGCGAATTTTTTCTTGCATTTCATTTAAACTTATTGGGTTGAATTAAATCTACTTCGTTAATAGCGCATAAACCACAACAGAATAAATACTTTTTTTTTAAATTCGCTACATTTACTATTTACCATAGCGATACTCTGGCGCTAGTTTCACTTAGCAGCGTTACATCTCATTCATCTTATAACTGAGAATGCCCAAAAATTATATCACCTGAAGAATTATCTAATCGTTGTCACATGTTATATTCAAATACTATAATACATCTAAAACAACGTGTAAAAGAAAAACGATTCAGCGCCACTTACCTAATGCGCATGCGCTACTCGTAAACATTCTCCTCTGTCCGAGACAGACTGGCGACAATATTTGCTCTAATAGAAAACACTTTTTGCCTCCAATTTCATTAGAGATATATTTCTCATTCAATTAATTCAGTTCTCCCTTCACGGCAAGGCAAAAATATATAAAAACTCAAAATATCTTTATTAAAAACTGAAAGATCTAGAAAAACACCTGCTAGTTTTAGAGTTATGCGAGATACATACATACGTACTGACGCCACGAAAAACATCTCTTCTGAATCCATTTTAAATCAGTTTTATAATTCGTTGGGGGAAAGAGTCTTCTATTCTATCCTTACGTACGGATGTCACATACAAATATCGTTAAATTGCATTCGATAGCGGTCAAAATGGATATTTTCGATGACATAGGGTACTCGGAATTTTTCGTGATTACAATACTTCCTTTACTTTGAACAAGGAAATAAAAAGTGTTATATGCTGATGAAAGCAAATTTAGCATCTTCAGCTGGACGAATGATGGTGTGGAGAAAACACAAAGAAAAAATTCGGAAGCAAAACTTTGTATCAAGTGTTAAACTCGGAGAAGGAGGAGTTATCATATGGGAATCTATGGCACATTTCGATGCTGGTAATATAGAGCTCATATAGATAGTATGGATTAGTATAAGTACTTTGACATCTTGAAGAGAAATTTGGCATCGTCAGCACAACAACGTAATATAGTTACAATAGTTTTAAATTCTACCAGGGCAAAGATCCAAAGCATACTGCGCACAATGTTAGACTTTTGCTGTTATTTAAATGTCCAGAAGTAACTAAGGTACCACCCCAATCGACAAATCTTCATCCCATTGAACATATTCTGCAGGAAATAGAACCGAGAATTTGAAAACAGAAGCATATCTTCGAGGCAGCAATTGAAACCAGCGATTCAAGAGGAGTGGCATAAAATATGACCAAAAATAGTAACAAACAAAGAAACAAAAAAAAAAAAAAAAAAAACCACCATATTGTGAAGTCAATGCCCGAAAGTGTAAAGGTAATCTCACAACATGTTAAGAAGAAAAAACAATGTAGGTTTTTGTCCTTTTTGGCTGTTACTAAAAGCGTTCGATTATTTTTGCGAGAATATTCTTCCTCATTAAACAAAAAATAGTGATTTTTAAATTTAATTTTCATCTTTGCAAAAATGTATTTACTACAAAAAGATGTTGAATTTATATTTAATCAAAATAAAAGCCTTTCTTTTTGCTTTAATTTATTTCAGTTTTTATGTTCGTTAAAGAATACAAAAATTTAAAGTGTCCGATTACTTTTGTGAGCCACTATAAGTATAGGAACTGAGAAACCGCATTAAAATTTGGATTTCGTTACTTATGGAAAATTTTTTTTTAAAATTTTACTTGGCCAATAAATAAATATTTTTGTCATTTAAAACATACATAACTTCCAAAACTATTTCCTACAATACTCAATATCAGCTCGGAAAACAATTTCGATTTCTGAAAATATTTATGCGAATCAGGGACTTTTTAAAAAACCATAACTTAAAATAATAATGATGATAAAAATCTGATACTGACACCACATGATTTCCTTGTACGGCCTATTAAATTATACACATTTTTGCGCTGCACTTCATTTAAACATATTTCCTCGAAATTCATTAGAGATAGATTCATAGATGTATTTCTAATTCAATTAATTCAGATCTCACTTCGCGGCAAGGAAAAAATACTTGACAATTCGAAACATTTTCATTAAAAATTGTAAAATACAGAAAAATCTAAAACACATACAGTTAAAAAATAATTTTTACAATTAAAATTTCAGTTTTACGCCAAAACAAGCAATTCATCCAACGGGCAGGATGACAAAATTCAGTTCACAAGACTGAAAAATAACTTTTGCTCCTACTGGGCAGAAAGAAAAAGGTACTGCATACACCAACGTACTTAATTCCCCATATTCCGTATTCCAATAAGAGTTTCAAATGTAAAAAATGGCGGCTTCGTTAGGCCTAGTGCGACTTTTAAATTGTTGGTAATTTTACAACTCTTGCATGGGGATTAATTATGGGTGTAAGTAACCTTAACCGGAACACAAAAACAACATAATTTAATCAATCAAAGCTTAAAGCGAAAAATGTACAGTCTACCAACATGTAAGAATAAAAATCCAGAGCCTACCAAACCGGCTAAGATGGTAGGTATATAGATAGATATATGTTTGGTGCGAATCCTGAACTTGAGCTAATTGTCCCCATACCGTAAGCAGTGTATGCAAAGCAGTGTATGCAGGTACTCAAGTACTGCAGCCTCATAATTACCACCAGAGAGCTGCCTCTGCTCAACGGTATTTTACCAACTTCAATCTAATTCACAGACGATGCAGACTTCACCACGGGACACTGTTACAGTGTTAATAATTCGCATGCATGGGCGATGGGAAGACCTGTGCATTATGGCCATGCATAGCATAACACCGATTTGCTCTTCGGCCTTGTGGGAAAATACATAATAGGCCCATGTCTCTTGCCTGTTTATTTAGATAAACGATGTTGCAAGCTTTTTTTTTTTTTTTTTTTTTTAGGAAGCGTTAGTGATTTAAGCAAGAAGTATCTTCCCCTTCATTTAAGCCGTTACATTCGGGAGCATTTTACACTGGTCATCAAACTTAAAGGATAATGGTAGAAATAAAACGTAACTGATGCTTAATGGAAAATTATTAATAGAAATTTGTACACAACCATTTAACATAAGTAACTACTGAATACTGATCACTCTCAGAAACCACATTCATTTTAAGCAACACTACAGACCGGAATTCGAATATGCGTCCATTGCGTACCATATTGTAAACAACCGAATTTTCATACTTCCGTTGCTAAATTATGCGCGGAAGTGCAATTTTGTGTTCAATTGTATTTAATTAACATGAATAATTACAACATTGGGCATTGGTTTTTAACATAAACTTAGTAAGCCTATTTTTTCCAGTATTATTTTTTAATTTTGATGACCAATGTAAATGGCAACTATGCGCGGTGGTTCCCATTCATTTGTCTGAACGATCATCGAAACTATCCTCCTTGGAATTTTTTTTTTGGGGGGGGGAAGAGGGGACGGCATAGAAAGTATGGAGTAGAATACATCCTTGGAAAGTGAGGAAGATCTTGTCGCATTGATCTTCGCATCTGCCATCCGAGAGACGCCCGAAATATTTCTAAACGAATTCACGTTGTGTCGCTGGCAAGGCATGTGTTTTAGGGCATGGCCGAGTTCCTTTGATGACCTCTCTTAATATCGCAGTTGCTATATTGATAAATAAATTGATGTTCCCTTGTGGAACGGTGTTTAAGGTACCCGGGTAACTGGGCGAACCCTACTCCGAATCGAAAAATACAAATCTCCGAAATAGCCACTCAACTAACTAAAGATGGATTATAATAAAATTATATATAAGATTTATACTAATATTTTTAGATTTCTAATAATATAAAAAGTATTAAAATTTGTACTAACTAATGGATAAATGGGGAGAAACTTCAGAAAACTGTCGAGCTGGTACAATGAGAAATGGTGAGCAAGTGCGAAAAGTCATAGCAACAGTAGGAAGAATAAAAATTACCCATAAGAATACACATAGGACAGAAGTAGGAAAAGAAAGCAAAGTAATAATTCATTAATCTTCCATAATATTTCTAGGATTGAAAATAGCCATAGGCCGTCTTATGTTTTGTACATCATTATAAACGTATTTGTAAATTCGCAGTTCAGTGTTGTTACTGTTTCTAATACGACAATGAAAACTTTTAGCCAAACGGTAGCAAAATGTTCTGAGATTGACAATTCCAAGCTCTTCACGAATAGTGTACCATGATGCGACCGTAATCTTCCTTGGAACACTGTCCTGGGCAGTTTGCAACTTTTCCCTATACCATTTATATGACTATGCCCAGAGCGGATAAGAATAACAGATTATGGGCTGCAAGATGGACTTATAAGTGAGTAATTTGTCATCAAAAGATAGAACTCTGATTCAGGCAATTAGGGGGGGCAGAGTCTAGCCTTACGCACCGGTATAATATATAGTTGTGTACCATATGAGAGAATTTGTGAGGACCCGTATAGTATATAGTTGTGTATCATATGAGAGAATTTGTGATTAATGAGGATCACCCAAGATAAACGACTTGCTTAGTCCAGGAGAGAGTTTCTATATAGAACTGCTATTGCTGATTAATGATCTTCCTGGTAAATAATATTGCAAAAGTTTTGTCAACATTTACCTTGATTTTCCAATTTAGTAGCCAGGCCTCTAATGCACGTATGTGATTTTGGAGATGTTGTATGACTGGACTAAGAACTGAGCAAGGATCGCTGTATCATCAGTGTACATTGCAAGCGTAGTGTTAGGTGTGCGAGGAATGTCGTAAATGTTGAAGAGAATGGGGCTGTCAGGATCTCTGTGGAACACCAGCTGAAATAGCACGGCTAGTAAAGTGTATCTTAGAGACGTGAACAACAAAATGTCTACTTTCTAAGTAGGATTTCATTATGTGTGTAATATAATCTTGGAAGCCCAAATTATGAATCTTGTATATGAGTGCATCCATCCAAACTCGGTCGAACGCTTTGGACATATCTACGAAGAGTCCACCGGTTAATTTTTTATGACGCATTCCTCCTGAGATGTGTTCAACCACTCGGTATAGTTGGAAGGAGGTCGACAGGTTTTTTTTTTTTTCTAAAACCAAACTGATGTGGAATCAGTATATTATCTCTGTCTAGGTGATCTTGCATTCTTCTAAGGATGACTGCTTTTATAATTTTTCTCAGACCGGGGGTAGACAAATCGGCTGGTAGGATCCTGGCTGGCTAGCTGACTTCTTAGGTTTCAGTATAGAAGTGTTGTGGACTGTTTTCCATTCAGAAGGAAAATACTGTCAACGTAGAATAATGCTGAAGATATTAGTGAGTTTAAAAATCCTTTTAAGTGGCAACATCTTGATCATTTTGTTGGTTGTCAGATTAATCTCAGGGCTCTTCTTAGGTTTCAAATTCTTGATATAGCCAATAATCTCTGACGGCCGGATTCGAATAATGTTGTTAGCGAGCGGGATTGCTGTGTGATTGGAGTGAAATTCAGAGACTAAGTGTTCTGCTGTTGGGTCATGAATGTTGTTAGTGCAAAAAGCAGAGTCCAGGTGTTCTGCTAAAAGTTCTGCCTTCTATGCTTCGGTGTAATTGATCTTGTAGTCGCTTTTAAGGGGGAAATCTTATTGTAGCACTATCCGTATCTAGAAATAGCTCTTCAGATGGAATTATCATCAGTAGACAGTGATTTCAGAAAGTTGGTCCAGTCTTCTTGTGGTTGTGAGTTAGTAAGAGACCTGACTTTTTCATTCAGTCTACTAAGTTGCTGTTTATCATACGGATGTCTAGATTTGGAATAGTCTTTTTGCAGCATTGCGTTTTTAATGAGATGTTTTAGGCCCAAGCTTCTTCGAAGTTTGGAATGGTTTAAGGTTCTGCTGGAACATTTCTGAGCATTGAAAAGGGATTCAGTAAAATTTAGTAAACTAATGTTCTTCACTCATTTGGCGCTCTTTCATTTTTCACTAACATTTACACATGTTAATGTGTTCACTAATGTTCTTCACTCATTTGGCGTTGTTCTTCACTCATTTACAAACTAATGTTCTTCACTCATTTGACGCTCTTTCATTTTTCACTAACATTTACACATGTTAATGGCATTCCGACCCTGCACTACCATCTGATCCCGATTCGTCTACTCCTCCCAGAAGTTATGTGTGCGATAGGGAGCCACCCTGTGCACTGAAACAGCTTATGGCTTTTTAATAATTGCAAGACCAACAAATGCAGTGCATAAGAAAGCTTTCTGAAGGGCTGGCTTATTTTGTACAAAAACTAGATTTTTAGTTCTAGATTAGAATTCCAGCATAGTATGATTTTTATAGGCGACATTATATAAAGAGTTTATAAATTTTAAAAATAAATTTAATTTTAGTAGTAGATGAAGTAGTTTCTTAGTGTTTCTATGGTAACGATCCATGTGCGTACACGTAAATAAATTTTTAATATATCAAAATTACACAAAAATTATCAATAATTTAATAATTTAAATTTCATTGGCAATTCGTTTTAATTGGCAGTTTTATCAAATTACCAGAAACTGAAAAAGACAATAAACATACTATTCCTAAATGTAATTCATGTGAACTTGTAGAGTCATTAGATTTATTTTGGAAGCAGGAAAGATGAAAAATATGCAACGCCTTCACCGAGAATCGAAACCGCGGACCTCTGGAATACGCGCCCAGCGTGCAGACCAATACACCACGAAGGCATGCCAAGAAGGCGGGAGAAATACCTTATAAACTTACGTACTTTTTGTTCAGTTAATAGGGCTAAATAATCTAAATATATTATAAATACTTACACGTATTCATCTTCGCTATCTTTAATTGTTACCGAATCGATACCGAATGTTTCTTCACCTTTCGTAAACCATCCGTTATATCTCAAATAAAGAGCTTGTATTTCTTTGAGTGGTTTAAAAGGTTCTCCCAGTGTAATAGCCAGCACTTTTACTCCTCCAGGAACAAGTTTCTCGTCTTTTCTGTAAAGAAAAATTTTAACATTTAAACAGCAAATAAAAATAAGTTATAAGTTTGATAATATTTAAAAAGCTAAAAATGACATTTTGACATCTTAATTTAAAAAATAATACATAACATATTTCATAAAGACTACCCGATTACAGCTCTTGGACGGTTGCTTGTAGATCCACGGTTCCAATTTGAGTATTGAAACAAGTGATGCAGACTTTCAACTTAGATTAGGTATTTGAATATGATAAAGTTGGCTGATCGAAAGATGGGACGCCTTGACGGAGGGCTTTCCGAAACAGACACTTATATGCAAAATTAAGAGTATTTCACAATTGTATTCATTTATACAAAAAGTATTGAACCAATGGTACTAATTATGTCGCCGTGAGTTGTATGCTCCTCTGGAACCTGAGTGTCACGATCTACAGTTGCCCGAAGGCTTCATGACGCAAACAGCGGGTCTTCTGGCATGGGCAGAAGACCCGCTGTTTGCTTTCCGCTCCAGAATGCTTATACGCTTCCTGCTCGCTGCAGTACACAAAAAAGCGCGTTTCGCATGGTGCAGACAATAGGTGCCTTCGACCAGACTTCAGCGGAGCACCACGCTTTTTACAGACAGTCGAGATTCAGCTCGGACACTGATTCTCGGCGTACCTGTATCTGGAGACAGCCTGGAACCCAATATCATCCCTCCCTCATCAGGGAAAAGGATTTTGCAATGGTTGAGGTGCAATGGTTTTCGCAGGCATTATGCTGGACGGCCGCATACTCTTAAATGTATTTGAAAAGGGCTCCCTAACTGCTATGAAGTACAAAGAGGAGATCTTAGAGCCTTATGTTCGACTTTTTAGGAGCGCAGTTGCTCCTGGGTTTCTGTTAATGGACAGCGCTCCTCTACAAAGAGCTCAGCTGGTCTTTGATTAACCGGAAAAGTGAGGATATTCACAACATGGCTTGGCCAGACTTTAACCCCAACAGAATGGGACTCTCTTGGAATGACAGTTTCATCTCAAGATCCCCTTCCGATAACCATCCCAGAATTAAAACTGCCTTGCTGTAGGAGTGGGATTGACTGCTACAGGGAATTCTCAACTTCTTCCTGTTCAGTATATCGTCATGCTGCGCGACCTATGTGGCTGTGAGATGGGACCATACCCCATATCAGGCTCATTTTCAGTTCGATATCACAATGTGGATTTTAGACATCCCTTCACTATGACCTTTATTGATAATCCTACGTACATAAAATGATGAACGATACGATATATCTCTTTCTCTTTTATAAATGTATATTCATACCAAATTTCATTAAAGTTTGTCCTTTGCGCTTTTGCAGCTCATTTTGCGCTTTTGCAACTGAAGATGATGGTTAGGTAAAACAGTCGAAACTAGTACTGTGAGAATTTGAAAATATAACGCTGATGTTTGTTGTTTGCCTACCTGGGCTTTATTTTATGTTCTTTATTTTATGTTCAGTGATAGATTACGACTCTTTAAAAGTAGAAAAAGATTGAACGTCATCCTGTAGGCTTTTCCGCAGGCCTGGATCACGAAAAGGCGCAATCACGTAAAAGCTATCTTAATAAATAAAGCAACGAAGGGAAAGTCATGGTTATATTTATACCCTATAGGAGTAAAGCGAACGAACGCTATCTGTCGGCAGAAACAGTAACGAAAATTGAAATTTTAAGTTTTTGGAATTTTAAAAGCGTTAGGAATTAAAATTATTAACTAAAAGAGATAGAGCGTTGTGAATGTGAAAATAGAATAGAATGAACAGTAATTTTTTTTAGAGACATGTCTGCTGAAAATTTTCAAAAAGAAATTGACTAAAAATGAATTTAGTTAAAATCCACCGTAGAAAATGAAAGTACCCATGTTTAAATAATTTATAATAATTAAAACATGCACTACATTATTTGCTTAAACGAGAATTACGGTTAAACAGGATAAACTTTAAAAACGTATTACGATATTCCGTATACAACTGTACTTTCATATATAACAAAAGCATAAAAATGACATCAGTCATTATTAATGCTTCCTACAGTTTGTTATTGGCACTTTGCGCTACCATTATTGAAGCATTTGTCATTACTCATTTTCTCCTTTGATGTCATCAGGCTGTGACTCATCAGCAAGGTCCGTGCTAGACATTTTGACAGCCGGCACTAAACAGCCCGTTGCAATATTCGTGGCTTCTTAATTATGCTGCTCACGGCTTACCTAAATTATAAAAGTTTTGCCGCCCTAAATCACGTCGCATAGGTTGCATTGGCTCTAGAGCCATCATAAGTTATTTAATATGAAACGTTTATTTCTTCTTCGTCAAGAAAGTCATAACTATCCATACAATTTTTAATCCTTAAAGGCCCATGAGCTAAAAATAAATTAACATGTAGCTGAAAAGTATAAGCAACCTGCAATACAGCTTTCGAACGGGGGAGATACAAAACCCCATATAACACGGCACTAAGATAGCTGGATTTCCCTTTATCACTGTACAAGAACAGCTCTATCAGATAACAGTTTTGAAATATTGAAACAGTACTAGTAAAAAGACAAAAATTTAAATTTCTTAATACATTATTATTAAAGCAAACTCAAATACAGAGAGTTTTATATTGAATGGGATAAAAAGAAAGCATACCTATGAATATTGTAATTATTTTGTTTTAATAAATCAAATTTACAGTGAAACTATAGTTATCTAAGTTTCTATAGATGTTCTGTATGTGCCTATCCGGTGACACGGCAAATATCTATGCGATGTTTCATTTCTTCCCATAGTCGTGATAGAATGTGTTTTATTCGAGCATTTCTGTTATCCACTGCGTTGCTGTAGAGGCATGTCGTTAACACTTTGTCTTTAAAATGCATAGGAAAAAATCACGAGGGTTAGATCTGGAGATCTCGAGGGCCAAAAAAAGCAATGGCATATCGTTTGACCTATTACGGCCACTCCAGTGATGAGGTGGAATATCGTTCAAGTACTGTACTACGTTTTTATGCAAATATGGTGGAGCACCGCCTTGCTGCAGAATGAAGCTTGGAACCGCTTCCTACAACTAAGGGAACAAACCACTCTGATAGCATATTTTGGTAAATGCACCCGGTAATCTATTTTCCACAAAGAAGAAAGTACCAAAAACATTGTTGAAAATGATGCAGAAAATGTTTATGCTTGGAGACTCACGCTCATGTTCCATTACTTAATGAGGATTTTCCATGTCCCAAAATCATAAATTATAACGATTAACTTCGCCAGAAACGTGAAAAGTGGGTTTGTACGTAAGCACAAGTCTGATCGCGAAATCATCTACCTCCAGTTTATCTTGCAAATTCTCACAGAAAGTTTTATGTATCGGTTTTTATCCGTTTGAAAGGTGTATGGCCGGAATTGCGGACTTTTCGTACCACACCGTTACATGAAACACATTGAGTTCAGAACTCGCATGACGCATTGGTTTTGTGGGACTCCATAAAAACGTTTCACGAATTTTTTAAACCACTTTGGTCTTCACTACTGTTCGTCCTGGGTCGGTTTTCTTGCAGCCCGTATCCTGAAACTGTTTCACCCACCGTTCGAAGTTGTGATGATATCAAATTGAAAGCGGAAATATCTTTGAACGACGATAAACGATGATGATTTGGAAAAATATTCCAAAACAGAGTACTCTTTCTCATGCATGGATGGCTCCATTTTGATTAGCAATACCTCTAGCTGAGGTTTCGAAACCGGAAGATTTTTCGTTGTTGCTAAATAAATCTTGTGTAATTGTAGTTTCAAAATTAATTTGTTTCAGTTTGATAAATCAGTTATAGAATTTGTATTATGATATTATTTTTGTCCCATTTAATAAAAATCACTCTGTATTTCGCCCCGTAATTGACAGAAAATAATTTATTGAGGAAAGCCTACAAATAGCAGAGATTCTGACTAAAAAGTAGCTACGCAATAAACGTTGCCAAACAACTTCTTTCTACATTTCCAAAGGCAAAATCGTTTAAACATAAAATAAACTGAATCGAATCGTTTCTCCACATTGCATTGCCATTGACAAACAGTGTGTGTTCAAAATTAGCACTCGATGGGAAGTCAGGTTAGGAAATAGATTAAAAATCGATGAAAAATTCCAACTACAACGAAACACCGTGAGGGAACTCAAAACAGCTTATAATAGTGTCCTAACGGTACAACTTAAACTTTTTATATTTCATTTTTCATGACGAGCGCAAAGTGTTCCCAAAGGAACGTGTAAAAAGTTATATTTTCTTATACATATTTTTTTATTTAAAAGTATGAAAATATGAATCTGAATCATTTAAAATATTTTTGTAAGTGGACTTAATGTCTACGAACGGCGGTTGCGAAAATAAAGGCCATGCAAGGACTTTTATGAACACGGTGCATATTTGTATAAAATCGCATACTTAAGCACTTTCTGTGTAGTTCAGGAAATGTTATATGAGGAATCTATTGAAATGCAAATGCAAACAGCCTAAAAAAAAAAGGTTACTTTTTACGATAACTGGTTCTAGAGCGAATATTTACAGGAGTTTTGTTTTAAATATCTTGTAAGGAATCAAATTTGGGAAACAAAATCAAGTTCTTTGTTACTGCTGAATAATCATCGCAATACGTCTGTGTAACGTATATACTCCCCACTTTCCCTTAGAAAATACTCCACGAAGGCATTCCTTTCGTTAAACAGACATTCCTCGTATTCTTTGCGATAAACAAACCGGTTCTTTTCCATTAACAACAATACACACAAAAAGCTTTAGTTAAGTATAAAAAAGACGCTAAATGTAATGTAAAAGCGTTTCTTGCCAACGGCGCGGGTACAAAAATTGAAGCTGCCATTTCTTGAGAAAGACAGTCTTTAATTTTATTCGCACATCAGTGTGATGTCATACATACATATACATCGTAATTAATTTTATGTTTTGGTGATATTTATTTTTAATAAAATATCTGTATGACATAATTTACATTGCATCTAATACATAACTTTTATAAACATTTGAAGTTGCTGAATGAATATTAATAAAAGAATTTACCTTGTATTTTTAAGCTGAGCAACCACTCTCCCCCCAAAAAATCTGCTGTCACTAATAAGAAATTAATTGTTTTTTGTTCGAATAATGTTTATATTTCTACTTGTAACAAATTAAATAATTTTAATCATTAATGTGTTATACTACTCTTTCCCAAATTTAAACTGAAATATTGCTTTATGAAAATATACAAGGCATCTGAATACTTTACTGCCCCCTCTTGGCATTATTGTTTGCCCAAAATGGACTCTAGTCTCGAGTGGGATATTAGTTTCGAAACGGTATTTTACACCGAATCACTAAAAGCGGCGTATTACTTTTTAAATTGTTGCCATTAAATATTATTACCTTGTATTATATTTAAAGAAATTAAAAAATGAAGAATCTGCATGTACGTGTTCTTGTTTCTCGTACAGTGAAAAAAAAAAAAAAAAAGATACCTGGAACCATCCAATTTTGAATAACGTAGTCCTCCACCCGAACATCGGCACCTAGAAGCCTGAATTTTGAATTTGTTTTATTATCTATTTGATATTTTGTAAAACTTTAACAAATTTTTGATTAACAAAGTCAAAAATTTCAAAGAGAGCAATGGCAACACTGTACAAAAAAAACATTCTTATCTCTAGCACGCGAGAGTGTAAATTGAAAATTCTAAAGATGTATTATCTTTAAATATTTTGTGATTTTGCCGTTGAATCGAATTTTATGTGACGTAAGCGCCAAGAAAGTAATATTTAATAAATAAAGTAAGCACATAAGACGTTAAAGATAAAAAAAGTTTTGTAAAGCCCTCTTAGTAAGAAAACTGAACATTGGCATGATAAACCGAGAAAGGACTGAAAAAATAGAAAAATGCATGCCAACACTTAACGCTGCAATTCTAAACGTATGCTGCTATGCTGCTTTTAAAATTTTTGTAATTTTCGTGTTGAATTGTATATGCGATATGTAAGTGCGAAGGAAATGGTGCTTAATACGAATAAAGCTAAAAAGATAGTAAAAGAAGAGGGTCAGTAGAAGTGATTGTAACAGCAGATTTGTAGATTGTGAACTCAGTGAGAGTGTAAAAAATCTTTACAAACCCTTTTGGGAAACCCTTAAAAGCAGAAACATTTGTTTGTTTGTAGGTTATTTTGTTTGTATTTATTTGCTTGTAGGGTTATCTCGCTTTGATTCGCGCCAAGTGGTGAAGCCATTCGGCGACTTTCCGTGTTAGCCAACAAAACATTTCTTAATGTTGTATCTAATGGGAAAATTAAAACAAATGAAATCAATTTGTTTCATTTTTGTGAATCAGATGCTTTTGATAGACCACTGGAATAAGTACAGAACTTCAGTTAATCAGTTACTTACTCTGTCAAAGTAATATTTTCCTTTTGTCCATTTTGTCCAACAAGCGTAAGAATGACAGCGCCGTAAGATTTCTTGAGGCCCTTGGCGAAAGTAGTAGTGAGTTTGACGACATCAGCTGGGAGGAAATGGATGATTTTAGTACTTAATTTGATTCCATCAAAGCGTAACATTACTATACAGAATATACGAACTCCACAAATATCAGACATGATTTTATTCCTATTTGACTTAACTTATTACCTTTGCCTGTGTCGCACACTGAAACTGAGTATAAAATCAAATCAGAATATGAAGCAATGATTTCAGAATAGGTAACTACTTTTGTCTTTTCATATAGCTATCAATAGATTTCCTTCTAGTACAGTTTTTCTTAACTTGTGGTTCATGAACCCCTTGAGGGTCCATGGGTCATATTTTGGGGGTCCGCCGAATGCTCGTAATTTTAAAAATGTTTGCATCCATATTTAAAAAAAAAAACTTTTTTTTGTCACGGGCAACCTCTGTAAGCCGTCTGTCTGCCATTTCCCAATAATAGAGACCTCCACTATACGAGGAAAAGAACATTCGCAAACCATATAAAATTTGAAATTTTTAGGAACACAAAGTAGCCTATGAATTTTGCTTCACTTGGAAATAAAGTGACGTTAAAATCAGTTCCGCAAAGTTCTTGCAATTTTTTAAAACAAAATATTTGTTTTACTTTTTCATAAGTTGTAATTAAAGTATTTCTTTTTTCAAGTTTTTTTTGTATGTCTTAATAATTGTTCTTAATTTGATTATTTGATATTTTTTTGTAGCCAAAATGTGCAAAGAAAGGAAGTGTGATGAAAAGTATGTAAAATATGGATTCTGCTGCGTGAAGGAATCGGACGATGTTGAAAAGCCACAATGCTTTCTGTGTGGAAAAGTTTTGGCAAACGCCAGTATATGAAACCGGCAAAATTGATAGAGCATCTCAAATCTCTTCATCCTGAAAATTGCATCTAAAGATCTAGAATTTTTTACAAAGAAGAAAGCCCAGTTTTCGAAATCTGGAACATTAACCAAACTTGGATTTGGTATTTCACAAAAACCTTTGGTTGAGGCATCTTTCAGAGTTGCATATTGTATTGCCAAAAGTAAGAAACCGCATACTATTGGAGAGACATTAATTAAGCCATGTGCGCTGGAAATGGTTGAATTAGTTTGTGGACTGGAACAGAGAAAAAAACTTGAGGCTATTCCATTGTCCAAGGATGTGATACATTCAAGAATAGTTGAAATTTCTTGCAATATCTTGAAACAGATCATCGATGAATTGAAAGCATCGCCATTTCCCTTTAGTATGCAACTGGATGAAACTACAGACATCTCGAATTGTAGTCAAACTTCTTGTTTTTGTTCGTTACGTGTCTGCTGATACTATCAAAGAAGAATTCTTATTTTGTGAGCCTCTTTTGCAAACTACAAAGTCAGTTGATGTTTTAGCGATTTTAAATGTTTTCCTTTTCCAAACACGACTTCGACTGGAAACAAAATACTTCATTCACTTTGTACGGATGGAGCACCTGCGATGCTTGGCAATAAATCTGGTTTTGCCCATTTTGGTAAAAAAAGAGGCTCCTAATGTTATTGTTACACATTGTTTTTTCTACATAGACATGCACTGGCTACAAAAACTCTTCCAACCAGCTTAAAAAGAACTATTGTCAATAGTTATTAAAACTGTGAATTTTATTAGAAGTAGAGCTCTTAATCATCGTCTTTTTAAAACACTGTGTCAAGAAATGAACGCAAGAACATGAGGATACTTCTGTAACCACACGGAAGTGCGCTGGCTGTCACGAGGGCAGGTTTTGAAACGAATTTTCATGTTGAAGACAGAAGTATCACTTTTTTTAGAAGAAAAAGATTTCGAATATTTCAAGAAAAAAGATTTTATATGTAAATTGGCTTACTTGGCAGACATTTTTAACCACATGAACGATATATGTCTTTCAATTCAAGGGCCTGATACAACAATTATGTTTGTTAGTGAATAACTTGAAAAACGAAATCTGTGAACACCTGGAAGTACTTCAAGTTTCATTTGAAAAATATTTCAATTCGGATGGAATAAAATAAAAGATGAGTTGTGGATTCGTAATCCTTTTTCTTGGTATTATTGACTGTATCGATGACATGAACCTTGCAAAGATGAGCTAATTGATTTGAAAACAAAGTCCTTGTTAAAAATGGATTTCGATTCAAAGACTCTTGGAGAGTTTTGGTCTTCTTTAAGAGAAGCCTACCCATTGCCTTGTAAAACGAGCTATGGCAGCCATTATTTCCGTTTGCTACATTATATCTTTGCGAAGCGGGATTTTCCACACTTGTCACAATAAAAACAAAACATTCGAAATAGACTGAATGTCGAACTTGATATGCGCGTTGCTTTGTCGAAAACCATCCCTCAATTCAATCTGTTAATCAAGGAAAAGCAGCAACAGACCTTCACATTTAAAATTTTAATTTCTTCAAATTTTTTATACTATTGAAATAAAAATATAAAAATAATTAAATAATAAAACAGAATATATTTTGTAATAAATTATGTTTAAGCAATTTTTTTTTTCACAGAAGGGTCCGTGACATATTTAAAATTTTTAAAGTGGTTCATCGTGCCAAAAAAGTTAAGAAACACCGTTCTAGTAGATTAATGTGTATTTCCTGCTTTATATTCGGGCAACATTTAAATAAGATTTAAAATTTCGAGCTTTGCTAAAAATGAACAACATACACTAAAACGCTTGCGTTTTTCATTTTATTTAATATGCGATTCATTATACAAGATCACTTTGACGTTCTTTACGAAGTTTTTTATACAGGCTGATAGAGCTTTACAAAAATTCTTATGGAACTTTATAGATTACTCTTCGTGGAAACGTTTCTCCATAAAATTCTATCCAAATTTTACGAGGCTCTTACAGAAAAGAATTTTATAGAAATGTGACTTTGCAAAATCATACGGGAACTTTAAAACCTTTATAGAATGGTATTTTGTAGGAAAAGACAAAGTTTTCAAGCTTTAATCAAAGAAGTTCGTAGTTTCTAATGTACTATACACGATATATAAAAGCAAAATTAAACACTTTTTCTTTTAAGTATTGAATCTTTTTGAATGGAAATTTTTGCTTGTTTACTTCCTTGTACGAAGCAGAGTTTGTACGGATTAAGTCGTGAAAAATTTATTTAGTCGCGAAAAATTTCGGTTGTCATATTTCAAATGAAATATCCATTTTGACCGTTCTCGAATCAATTTTAACTATTTTGTTGCATGACGTATGTACGTACGTCTGGAATAAAGGACTCATTTTTTCCAAAACAGATTGTAAAATAGATTCAGAAGGAATTTTTACTTGACCTCCGTATACGTACGTATCTGCATAGCAAGCGAATAGACGCTAATTCCAGGAAATAAGTTTAAATGAGGTGTCGTAAAAAATGTGCATAATTTAATACACTGTACAAGGAAGAGATGTCCACATCAGACTTTTAGTTCTAGCCAAACATTTCTTAGCCTTTAAACTTGTGATTTATTTTGTGCCATTTTTTCTACAATATATCTTATATTACATAAAAATTAAGTATTGTAAAAGTATAAAATCACTTTGAATCATATAATTAGCTAAAAGATTGAAGTTTTTTGCTGTTAATTGCAAAATTTTGACACTTGAAATGTATACTTTTAATTATCGTATATGTAATTATAGTATATGTATCGTGTATGTATATCGTATTTGGAAATGAAGATCTAACCCTTGCTACTGTATTCAGATGGTTTACAGAATTTCACAGAGGCTGCAACTCTCTTCAAAATGAAGCCGTTCTCAGCAGTAATCCTGGATAATGTTTCTGCAAACGGAAAATCTTAATCGATGATAATCGCTGTACCTACCAAATGATACAGAAGGAACATAATGTTGGATCAGCCGCCATAAATAAAATCATTCATGAAGAACTACATATGAAAAATGTAGTTTGCCGTTGTGTTTCCCATAATTCAACTGAGCACCAAAAAGAGGAGTGTGTCAGAATCAGTAAAGAAACCCGTAAGTTACTTAAAGATGGTGGTCACCACCAATTGTTTCTAAAATCGTAACTGGTGATGAAATTTACATACCATTTCTTGACGTTCCAACACGTCAAGAAAGTAAAGTATGTTCCAACACGTCAAGAAAGTAAAGTATTGAAGATGATCCCACGCCCACAATGGTGAAAAGATAACGTGCCGTGAAAAAAGTAATGTATGCCGTTTTCTTCAGAAAGTACAGAATTGCGTACCAGTCACAGATAACTGGTACACCACTAAGTGTCTTCCAGAAATTCTTCAAGAAGTGAATGTTAGGAGACTGGTGTTCCACCGTGACAACGAATTGCCTCATTCAGCAAGACTCACAGTTGAGTTTCTTGAATAAAAACACATCAAAGTAAAAGAACATCCACCCTATTTACTCTGTCTAGCTATGTGTGAGTTAACTATCTAAAAACGAACTGACATGGGCGTCGTTTTTAAACTGAAGGTATCAATGATGAGGTTAATAAATGCATTTTTTTTTCATTGATTCCAAGAAATGAAGGGCTTGAGGCATTTAATCTTTGGAAAATCCGCTTACAGACGTGTACTAATGCTTAAGGGAGACTGCTTTGTGAACACTTCTAAAATTTCGTAACCAATGTATATCTCAAAAATTTCAAAGTGAACCTCGCATATGTGATGAAGTAATTTAGTTCGTTGCAGTTAATATGATATTAGATGTGCGCTTCAGTGAAGACTCCAATTAATCTGCACTCGCGAGTGGGCTGAAATTATTAGATCCCTGAAATTTCGATTACGTAATAGAAGATGCCTGGAAGTTTTGAAGAATTACAAAATCACTAGATAATCCAAACATACCTTTATTTCTCATTGATTACCTCTCATGTCACATCACAATGAGGACAATCTGCACTCCACAGTTTTGGTGATAACGCATTACATTTTTAATAGAAGCAGTCGAACAAGAGACATCTTTAGGTAGCAAGCTTAGGCAGAGAAAGAGTAGTTGGATTGCTACGGTATTTAGAGTAAAACCTTTCGTTTGGCTAAGCAATATGCAAAAGGTTAAAATGACATGACACAAAATTAGTTTTCAGATATGAAGCAGTTTCGAAAAAGTTTACTACTCCTTTAAAACAGAGGGGGGGGGGAGTTCCCAAACCAAAAAGAGGAATTAAGGGGCTATTGCTAATTTAAAGTATACTTCAGAGCTACATATTTTATAAGATAAAAAATATGAAAATGTAAATCAAAATTATAATTTAAACTAGCAATAGCCTCTTGATTCCACCTCTTTATTCTAAAAATAGTGACGCCTTTTTCTGGACTGCGTCATTTCTAGATCAATCAATCTCGTATGATTTGCGTAATTCGGAACTTGAACTCGAAATCTCGAGAATTGAGACCTTTCTCTTAATAAGCAACCTAAACCAAAACCTTCTCTTGGTGAGCTTCAATACTAGATAATTGCGCACTTTAGCTTCTACCTCTCTTCACATTTAAACGCTATTTCGCTCTGCTCTCTTCCTATAGCAACAGTATGAAAAATGTAAATGTTTTCAAAAAGGCACGATTAGAGTGCCAAATAAATTGTGACTCCAAGTGACAGTTGAAGTAAAGATGAATACTTTCCGCCTTGATTGCCAAGTTTGCCGTTCATTATACAGATTCAACAATCTACGTTCTACGCCATCAACATTGCTATGTCTTTTTCGTCATATCCTTTTGATTTTGCAATAAAAAAGAGAGTTTCAAAATTATATGCTACAGTAGTCCCATATACAGCGGAACCTCGAGATATGAGTTTAATTCGTTCCAGCATTGAACTCGTATAGTGAATTTCTCGTATCTAGAAACAAACTTCCCCACTGATTTTAACGGCCATGGCTTCCTCATTTTCCTTTGAAGCACTATCTGAGGCAACAATCTTCTTCGAAGGCATTATAAAATAATTATTTTCACATTAAATGTAATAAACAATTGACTCACATGCGCACAAACACGTAGATCAAGGAACACTGAGCGATCTGTCAACGGAATCCCCGAGTCGAGTCGGATCGGGAAATGGCGCCACCCATACCAACAGCCTGGCTCGTTACTCGAGTCAATGCTCATATTTAGAGACAGATGTTTTTGCTCATATTTTCCTCATATCTTGAATTTCTCATATATAGAGGTGCTCGTATATCGAAGTTCCACTGTACAACGTTCTATGGCTAATCAATTTTTCAGTCATGCGAGATACATACGTACGCACAGCATTACGAAAAAATTATTTTGAATCCATTTTACAACCCCTTTTGAATTAAAGAATCCTTTACTCTGTCCGTACGTACAGACGTCATGCAAAAAATATTCCAAATGGGTTCGAGAACAGTCAGAATTAATATTTCATTTGAAATATGATATCCGAAATTCTTTAAGATTACAATACTTCTTTTACTTCGTGCCAAAAAGTAAAAAGAATCATTTCATTTTTTGTCATGTATGACTAGGAATAACATGAATTTCTTTACGATAGTCAAAAATTCAGCTTGAGGAAATTTATTGACTGCTGCCAAAACGAAAAAGTGTCAGATCAATAAAAGAACGAACTATTTTCTCGTAACATAACATAAATCTATAAATGGAATTCTTATGGGAAGATGTCATTTGCTAGTTTTAAAATTAATAAAACTGTTTTAATAATTAAGATTTCAACTTTGCAAAAAATAATCTACTCAGAAATCTTAAAAATATATTTCCTTTCAATTTATTAAGGTTTGTTTTGGCCTATGAAATTATTTTAGAAAAATATAAATAATGAAACTCATTTTCCTTTCTCTATTAAATAAGAAATAATTCAAAAACATTACTGACGAAGTATTTGAAGAATTCATTTGCTTCAGAATTCATGCAACATTATTCTTTTTCAGATTTCAAATTTATATTGCGCTATATCAGCTGCAGCAGAAGGACGAATGGCAGTCTGGGAATTTTCTGATCATTAGGCGATTGCTCGCAGCATATTTTCGGCAGACATCATCAGTGAAATTGCCCTCCAAATTCACCTTCCGAATAAATGGCATCTGTCCGGCAATCAGGTATATTCTTCGATCAGTCTGGCTGCAAGGACGTTTGTAAAGGGCGATCGATAAGAAAACAAAACCATCTCCGAAGAAAAGAAAGGCAGACGTAGAATGAATTTTTCTTTTTGTATGAGATAATTAAATTTGCGCCTGTGAAGATGGATTACTCGGCGTTTATTGTGTTTTACCGATGCCAACAATCAAGATACAGTTTTCAGAATAATTAAAAAAGGAAATTTTACTTGATTAATTATCTGCATTTTGCTTTAGTAGAAAATATCATTAGATAATTATTCGGTAATAAAATTTTTTGTCTTTTGTTTCCTCTAGCCAAAAATTTGTTTTGGCTTTTAAATTTATGTAACCATTTTGTAAAATATTTTGAACAGTATTGCTGACGCGATACCAGTATTAAATCTAATAAAAGCGTAAAATCTATTTTTAAATCACAAAATTAGTTAAAGATTAAAATTATGCTGTTGATTTAAAAATTTTAGTTCATGAAGTGCATGCTTTTAATGATTCTATATGTACGCCTAATAACAGAAAGTATATCTTAATTTTAATTAAACATATTTTATTTCAAATATTTTTACTTTTGTTTAGATGTGATTCGAAATCAAAACGATACAGAAATTTGTTATTGGAAGAAAATTATGTCTATTAAAAAAAAGTTTTTGTTCCTTCCTCCAAGAGATCAGCTGATTTGTATTTAAAAATGAAAATTTTATTCATGCCTTTTCATCCCAAACAATTTTTTTTTTATTTTTTTTTTATTTTATACTGCTTTTTGATGTTCAAAATCTCGTGCAAAATCGTTTTTAGAAAATTAAGGTAAGGAAACTTGTTTAGAATTCTTTAGAATTGTGACCCAGTTTTCTATAGATTTGATTTGATATTTTCAGTGAAAATCTATGCCTTTCGTATGAGATCTTATACAAAGCTACAAAACCTTTTTTAGAATCTCTGCATAAATCTCTATAGAATCTTTGCACATAACACTACAGAAGCTTTGTCTAGAATTTTATAGAATTCTTTAGACCTCTGACCTAATTTATGGAAAACTAGGTTATTCTAGTAATTTCAAAAGATTTTTAAAACGCCTGTATTGGATTTTTTTATAGAATTCTTCAGAGCATTTTCGTAATGCGTGTGTATTTTGTGTGATCAGAATAGGTGAACAAGATAAGGAGGAAAACATAATACTCAATATATTGTTTTCAAATTTATTTAAATGAAGTAAAAGACGAAATACAGATATAGCTTTAAGAATATAAAGATACTGCCCAGAACCTTTAAAAGAAAAACAAATATCATAAATTCAGATGAAATAAATTCTTGAATCAAACATTAATGATGAAAGAAATGTAGAAGACAAATTGACAGTTGCTGTAGAAGCACCATGACCATTTTGTGAAACAAAAATTTGATATTTTAACTTGTCATAAAAGACGGGGAGAAAAGGAGTTATTATTTTTGTTTAAGCAATTTGCGAATATTTTTTGCATTTTTAAGTTTTTATTGTATTTCGTCTTCTTTTTTATTATTTTATTGTATAAAAATTCAGAGGTAAATATTATGCAAATACCGAGTTGGTAAGACGGTAATTACGAGTTTTTAGTGTGAAGAACCGAGCGCCAGAGTGTCGTTATGGTAAACAAATAGAGTGAACTTTAAAGAATGCATTTATTTTATTGTGGTTTATGCGTTGTCGGCGCAGTAGATTTAATTCAAGTCAATAAGTTTAAATGAAATGCAAGAAAAAATGCGTATAATTTAATATTTCGTACAAGGAAGACATGTGATGTACACAGCAGATTTTTTATATATTTGTAGATGATTTTAATGAATCTAGCTGGTATAATTTCACGCATATACGAGTAGTTAGAGATTAACAATAACTGAAACGAAGCCGCATTTATTGCTTTTAAATCGTTTAGTTTCTTAAAAATACCAGAAAAAATTTGAAAGAAACATTTTACGCTTTAAACAGATAATTACTGTCGTCTGGATGATAAAAATATTTTTATTTGAGTAGTGGCAATATATCTTTTTTTTATGTCACTGAGTTTCTTCGTAAAATTCGAAAGGCAAATCTATTGCGAATGGCAACTAACTTCAGCTATATCGCCGAGTTTTGTGATTAAATCTGAAACATAAATATGTTAAGCTTTCCAGAATGGCAACACAAAGTTTTAACCGATCACCAATGACACACTGCACCTACTATGTTATATTCCGGATATATTATTCTTAACTAATAATCTTAAATTTTAACTAACGTACTCACCACAGAAAGGGACTTTTGCTTTGGTCTTCAAATAGTAAATTCCTGTTCCTTCGGCATGATAACCCATGCGGCCGCACGTCTCTTCACAACTCATGCACTTCGCCAATTCGAAATCCGAATAACTGCTGCATTTATAACCGACGTAATGGCAAGACGTCGGTTTAAGAATGGAATCTGTAAAGAGGTGCACAGCTCGCTCGTGATTGCAGGTTCGTTCCCGTTCGCCCTCTGAAAAGAAATCGCAAATTAACATCAGGAATTAAAAATAAAAATAATAATAATAATAATCTGAAAGAATTCAGATTTTAACGACCACCCGAAAGGTTTTTGTTAAGCTTTTTTATGGTCTTGTTGAGCTCGTATAGTCTACCATTCTGCTATTCGACTCCCTCCTGCTAACCCATTTCTTTTTGTCTTTTCAGTTTTGATGGCTTTACAAAACCTTTTTTTGTCTTTTTAATATTAAAGTTTTGTGTGTTTACTTAATTTATTAAATATCACGTTATTGGCACTTGCGTCACGTAAAACTCGATTCAACAGCAAAATCACAAAATATTTTAAAACAGCATATCTTTTTTGGATAAACAGTCTCGCGCTCTGCAGATTAAAAATATTTTTTCCCGTACAGTATTGCCACTGCTCGCTTTGAAATCGTCGAGTTTGTTAATCGAAAATTCGTTAAGGTTTTACAAAATATGAAATAGATAATAAAACAAATTCGAAATTCAAAATTCGGTCTTCCAGATGCCCATGTTCAGCTGAAGGACTACGTTATTCAAAATATTATTGCTCTAGGTACTATTGTTTTTTTCACAATGTGAGAAACATGCATAAATGAATGCAGATTCTTCCTTATTTAATTTCTTTTAATATAAGATAGGGCGACAATATTTGGTGGCTACAATTTGAAAAGTGATACAACGCATTTAAGTGTTTCGACGCAAAATGTTGTTTCGAGACTAATATTCTTTTCGGGCTAATAATTGTATTTATTGTTCCATATATTGCCATTTACATTTGCCAAGTCTTTCATTTGACACGCATAAAGAATAATTTCTCTATGTCATGTATAATGTAATTTAACAGATGAAAATTTGGCTAATGGAATTAGGATAAGATTATGCATGTAAATATATACAGTGTCTCAAAAAAGTGATGGGACACTTGTGCTTTACAAAAGGAAACTGCAATAAAATAAATTTAAAAAACATGTAAAATTTTTTGTGGGTGTGTTTCATACTTAAATTTAGTAACAATTATTACATAACATACATTTTCTCAAAATATTAAAATATTATTTATTAAAAATACAATTGTTTAGAACGGAGCAGAAAATGGCTCACTTAAGTGATGGGACCTTACTTTTCCATCAAATATTTATCCAAAATTTTACTTTTTAAAAGGTTTTAATATTTTGTTGGATTTCCTTTTACTTTTAAAACATGATTTAATCTTCTTGCGATGGATTCGACTAATTTTTTTGTGATTTCAGGAGTGATTTTACCCCATTCTTCTTGAAGCACGGATTTTAATTGTTGTTTTGAAGAAATGGTGTGTTTGCGAATTCTTGATTCCAATTCTTGCCAAATATTCTCTATGGGATTTAATTGGGGAGATTGTGGGGGTGTTTTTATTATTTCAGGACAGTTATACAGCAGCCAGAGTCTAACGTTCAAAGCACTGTGCTTGGGGTCATTGTCCTCGTAGAATTTAAAATCGTTATGAAAGTTCAATTTTTGTGCTGAAGATTTCAAATTTTGATTTAAAATGTCAATATACTTGCACTGATCCATTATACTGTCAATAAAAACAAGATTACCAAACTCCAGCGGACGGCATACACCTCCATACCATAAACTCCTCCTCCACCATGTTTTACTGTTGGCACCAAGTTCTGTTTGCGAAATTCTTCCCTGGGTTTTCTCCACACCAAGATTCTACCGTCAGAACCAAATATATTAAATTTAGCTCTCATCAGCAATATAACTTCCTCCAGTCATCAGAATTCTAATATTTATGTGGATTTGCGAAAGCCAGTCTGAGTTTTCTATTCTTTCACTTACGAAGAATTTTTTCCTGGCTGCTCTACCGTGATATCCGTAGATCGAATTACTCTTCTAATAGTCTCAGAATTAACAATTACTCCATATAATGCTTGTAAATCGCAGCAACTTTAGGACACTCATTCTTGGATTTTTTTTTAATATTTCGAACGATAATTCGCTTTATTCCATTGGATACCTTTGATGGTCGGCCAGGTCTTCCTTTTCCGAATCATATGATTCTTTTTATATCGTTAATGATATTGAAACTGTTGAATGACTGAAGTTAACTGTTTCAGTAGTTTCTCTAATAGATTTCCACGTTCATATACAAATTATTAACTAATTTTCGAATTCCAGGCAAAGTTTCTTTTCGTTTAGCATTCATGGCTGCACATAGCTAAAAAACACAAAATTTCCAAACAAACTGGAGAGAAATACTGCAGACGATTTTATAAATTAATTAAGAGTAAAAATAAATCCCCAAAAGATATTTTATTGCTTACTTCAGACGATTTTTGTTGCATATACGTAGTGTCTCATCACTTAAGTGAGCCATTTTTCTGCTCCGTTCTAAACAATTGTATTTTTATTAAATTATATTTTAATATTTTGAGAAAATGTGTGTTATGTAATAATTGTTCTAAATTTAAGTATGAAACACCCCACAAAAAATTTTACATGTTTTTTTAAATTTATGTTATTGCAATTTCCTTTTGTAAAGCACAAGTGTCCCATCACTTTTTTGAGACACTGTAAATACAAGAATTAACGCATTATGAAGCTGCCTTTGTGAAATTTATTCATTTATCTTTCGACATTTCAAAAGATAGTATTAAAAACTACTCCTTGGTCAAAGTTTCCAAGTTTATTTGATAACTGAAAGAATCAAAAATGTATTCCTTATAAACGTTTATATACCACTTTGAATGTGTATATTGCAAAACTCTGTATATATGAGATTTAGAGTACAATTTTTAAAGGATCATGTTCTTCCTCTTCTTCTTTTTTACAAAGTTTTATCTATTTCCTTTAAAATTAAAAAAAGAAAAAATACTTTCATTATTTTTTTATAAACTGTAGACATATCTCATGTTTCGCAAAGTCAAAAGCCACAACATTTCATTTGTGATATCATAGTATGTATTTCTATATACGCTTATGCCTGGTCACGCTGATAGGAATCGATATAATACAAGACTGCGAAATAACTGCAATTGTATCTTTTGCAAAGCCGTATTGATATGCATATTTTTGCTTTAGGTTTTTGTTAAATATAGCATGATTAAATTGCTTTAAACTTCATAGTCTGTTTTTTTGACAAAAAATCAACACTAATTAATTAATTAAATGTCACAGTAAGATCTCTTGTTCCTTTTCATTTCCTACCGAGATGAAATTTATCTTTCTCCACGCTGTTGAAAGAAAGTAAAAGCTAGTAAATTTAACAGTTCATCTTTGATTACATTAGTGAATTTTACTTAGACTTTTGAAAGCACACAAAAATAACTAACTCTTCCATCTTAACAAAAACTACTCCTGCAATTGTTTAGATCAAGTCCGTAGAACATTCTTCTGTTGTTGTCATTCTCACAAAACATAATTCTGTTTTCTTTATTTATGGCTCAAGATCTTTATTTTTCTTTTATCGTCTGCGAATGTCCTTTTTATTTTAAATTCGGAGAACTCTACAGTTATGTATGTAAATGTTATACACGTTACTTAGAACAGCGTTTTTACAAGATGCATAATGTTATGTGTGTAATAATGTGTAAAAGGATAAATTTATGGAAAAAATGAAATTTCAAAAATCTTTCAGAGTTGCAGAAAATTTTATGCTTTGCTTTTGTGATTCTAGGAAGTTCATAATAACTCATGAATTCCCTACTGTTGTCTTACATTTATTTCTCAAATTGGCTTTACATCATTCTTCCAATACTTACAGATTTACCATTTTCTGCCTTTCAGCCGAAAACCTGAGCTTGTATTTCTCGAGAATTAAGAAGATAAACAAGTGTCTTGAAAATATAATATATAAGACCATGGCTAGCAACATTTTTTGTTAAATCAGCCATGACCCAGAATTACAGGCATGGTTTTCATTTTTAGTGCTTCATTTTTCAACTAAATTAGGATTGAGTACTTCACCCGTAAATGATTACAATTCCAGTTGAAATATGTTTTTATTTTCAGTAAAAAATGCAATCCATTCAATTATTTACAGTTTATCTAGCTATAAATGAATGCAAAAACAAATAACAAGTGAAATTCAGTCACAAAAAAATCTTTTTCTGGTGATTATTTCTTCCAAAAAGCGGCAGTAGTGAATATTCACAGATCCTCTTAAGTTTTTGCTTAATTCATTGAATGAAAGGCAATAAAGCAATGCAAAAATGCAGTACATTCTCTATTCACAATTACAGTTTACATTTTACTTAACTGCAGTTGGAAACAGAAAATAACAATATGCTGTAATCACAAAAGTAAGTGTAAAAAGAGTAAAGATTATGTTATTGATATTGGCTTCAAGAATAGTGACATTAGTCAGTTTCTCAAGAAAAGGACATAGCATTGCTTTATCGCTAATGGTTTAACTATAGTTTTGACTTAATTTTAATTGGGTAAAAGATTTCAGTTTCCCTTTCGCTGTTGTGTAAGTACGTCATTAGCATTACTTAAGATTCATATGATAGGGATTAATTTTAAACTAAGGCGCTTCAGAAAAATAACATAAACATGTTTCTGTTTTACGGTAAAAAAGGGAAACACCCAAATTAAAAAGTAGATTTAAGGGTTTATTACATATTAAGTTTTACCTTAGAAGTAGATACAGATTTAAGAGAAAAAAGGAGAAAATTAACAATCCAATTCATGAGTGTTAATGACATGAAATACCATAAAATAACATGAGAAGGATGAAAAATAAAATGACTTAATGTAATAATCACGGAGAAGTCAAGATTTCCTCTCAAATCCTGAACAAACGAGTAAAAACATGAAGAGAACAAAACCTATGGTACCAGTTTAGCAACATCGATGAATCCTTGAAACGTGACAGTATGATAAGGCATGATGTTTTCTCTTCGAGATTCCGCAGCAGGTGTTCATATAGAAAGGTAAAGCTGCATCGGAAATGAAATCTGTATGAAGTCTTGATCCTTCGTAAGAAGCTGCAACAGTAGATCCAAGATTGTTTTTGATGAAAGAAAATGTTGTCTGCGGAGAGTATGGCTTACCGATGAGTACTTGGAGAACAAAGATACTGTCCGTATTTAGTAGTTAATTGAACCTCAAGCTTATTAAGTACGCAACAAGTTCAGTACTATTGTTGAACACTAAGCCTTTAGTTGTGAACCTACGATATGGTATTCGCTTTATGATATCGCACCAAACTGTAGTGCTCAAAGGAGGTATTGCTGTGGTGGGACTGTAACCTGCGTCAAGTCTTGAATCCTGTATAAAGACGTTGCAGGATTGAACTCAGAATTTTGTTTGATAGATGACAGGTCTAGTCCACGCAGAGTATGGCCTGAGAACGAATACCTTGAGGATAAAGACATTGCTTCCACAGAAGAAGCCAGCTGACATCAAGCCTGTCAAAAATTTCTGGGACGCCTTTGAAGAATTGTTTCTGTCCATAATACCCTCTAACTGTACTCAGTTGGAATACAAACTACCCTTCTACTGGGGAGAATGTCATTACTATATTGCCTGTGGTAAATCACCTACGAGAAAGAATGAAATATCACGTTGTTGAAGTTAACTTGTGATTGTGGCACAAGATAGCTTGTTTTGGTACATCTCCTGGTACTCTCTTTGGTACGAGCTAACTTGTAATAAAATCAGAAGATATCACATTGAGGCTTGTTTTGCTAGTATAGATTACAAATCTTTTAGTAAACGTATTAGTTATGGAGAATAAAAGAGTTAATATGGAACTTAAATATATTTTTGAGATTTCATTACTGTACCGCAAATACATAACTAACTACCTTTCTGTAAAAATAACATTCTGTGTTACATCGAAGCCTCGCTTTCCAGATCTATGTGTAAAAGACAGTGATATGTGTTACTTGCTTTAGTAAATAAGCCTATTACAGAATGATCTGCCTAATAATAAAAAGCAGTAATCTGCGTGCAATTCTGGGGGCTCCTCGGCTGTTCCAGAACATAAATGAATAAAAACTGAAGGCAATTTAAGAATAAAAAATAAAACATAGAATAAAAAAAAGAAATTTACAAATTACATCCTAAATTTGAAATTTGCCAAGTTGAATTTCTCATCTCCTCTAGTAAACGATGCTTGGCCATCCCTTGGAACACTCCAGAAGCTTCTCAGTAATTCACGATCCTTCGAGATTTCCTGGAATCCACTCGAAGCTTCTAAAAATTTAGCCCCATACGAATACATATGGATAGTTAATTTGGAGTCACTCACTATGAATGTTTATAGCGATAACACTATAATGGCTTCACGATTTTTCAAGAATATTCTGGGCGTTTTATTTCTTTGTGAGGTTTAGTTGTTATTAAGTTAGAATACAGCGGCACCTACTGTAGAGAGAAAGAAATTCTCACTTGGCCACTGGTTTCCGCTAAGACAACATGTGGTAGTACTGACCGCTAACATGTGGTAGTACTGACCGCTAATTAACCGCTAATAATGTTATTAGTCTTCTCTTTTATACAGTCCATTCATTTTGCCTAGAATTATATAAACATAGTACAGCTGCGTAGCTAATAAGTATTCCTCTCATTAATAAATGTGATAATAAAAGTAAAATACTGCATAAAACCGCTATCTCCTTAAAGCAGATTCTATAAACTAATAAGCGAAGAATACAGTGAGTCACCATGAATCTCTCCTGCTGCGCAATAAAATAGGGTGTTTGTTTGAAGAAATCCTCGAAGTTTCCTGATGGTAAACTTCAAAGTTTCTCAAAATGGTGAATTTAAAGTTTTTGAAATATAATTTCATATTATGAGCACTGGAAAATACTTAGATATTTACTCACTGCTTATTATCCCTTACTATCTATACCTTTTTTATACGCTTTCAATGTTATTCTTGAACCTCATTAAAATTGTAAGATACAGCACTTGTAGACGATAAAGCTCAGTTACAGGATTGATCCTAAAAAGGGTTCTGCGAGTTAAAAGGCTTCGGAACCGCTAATATAATTTCTGAAACTTACTAAACATATCTAGGAAAGCTCCTTTAAGAGTGCTACCACAGCCAGGCTGCCGTTTCCCTCCATTTGGGTAGTAATCCACATCCCCAATCGGAATGCCGATTCCGACACCCCCATAAAGAAGCAGATCAGCATTGGTATGAATAACATCCACGAAATCAGCATCGTCTTTAAAGAGATGAACTTCTTCTCCATAATCTTCGAATAGAGGACTTGCTGGATCCAGACCTAAAGAGACAAACAAACATACATTTGGTGAGAATGATTTCAGGTCTGCAAAAATACAAGGTGAAGAAACATCTGAAGATAACTATTCTGTGTTTTATAATGCATTGTATCAGCGTTGAGGCTTACTTGTGTTAATATATACTTTTGAATTAAAAAAATGAACAAATACAAAGTAAAACGCTATTCAATGCCTAATCCAATTGCGCAATGAAAGCAGCCACAATAATGCAAAACAAATTTTAAAATAATGCGTTTAAAACTCATCAAATCTTCGATTCGGAATAAACATATATATAAAAAAAAAGCAATCAACTATTAAAATAAAAAGATCTGAAAGGTTTCAGATTTTAAATTATGACCAAAGCGGCGTTTTTGTGACATTTTGTTTATCTTTATTTGTTAAATATCTTGTTCTTCGCACTTAAACCATAAAATTAAATTCAACAGCAATGTCGCAAAATAATTTTAAAATGAGCATATCTTTAGAATTTCCGATACACAGTTCCGCGCGGTGGAGATAAAAAGATTCCCCCCCCCCGTAGAGTGTTGCCATTGCTCGCCGCTTTTAAACAGTTGAGTTTGTTAATCAAAAATTCGTTAAGGTTTTACAGAATATGAAATCGACAATAAAACAAATTCCAAATTTCAAATTTGGGCTTTCAGATGCCCAGATATGATTACGCACTTAGATTACGTCATTCAAAATTGGATGGCTCTAGGTACCGTTGTTTTATCACAATCGAGAAACTTACATACATTTATGCAAATTCTTCATTATTTAATTTCTTCAAATATAATACAGGGCGATAGTATTTGGTGGCAACGATTTGAAAAGTGATACGCCGTTTATAGGGTTCCGACGGAAAATCGCAAAACGAAAATACTAGTCCTTCAGGAACAAAGCCCCTTTTGAGTTAAAAAAAAAAAAAAAAAAAAAAAAAAAAAAAAAAAAATGGAGCATGCTGTAGGCAGTAAAACAAAAACAAAGTCATTTTTGGAAGGAAAAATTAGGGTTAGTTGACTTCATTTTTTGCATTAGTGGGTGCATCGCCAGCGACTCTAAAAATTTATTACTGACATAATTGGCTATAAAAGTGTCAACAGTAAATCATCCATATTAGATTGTGGCTAAAATAACATGCATTTCTATTCTTAAAACTGCAGCTCGTATTAGGTTCCTAATAAATGACTAAAAAGCATAGAAAAGCGTATGAATGCATAATTTTCTGTGCTTCCATATCACGTTAAATTCCGAAATATACTTAAGTAGGTAAGTATAGGTAAACATGTGTTATTGTTATGACTTATTTCACTTGGCTGACAGTTACAACAGAACAAGCCCGCGAAATTCATCGCGACAAAAAGTGCAAGACTTGCGCCTGTCGTTTGCAACAGCCTACGGTTGACAATGCGACTTTACTCAGTTCCGGTTCGAATTTTCATGGAGAGCAAGCTGGGGGGGGGAGAGTTCGCAAGTCACTTAGCCTCATCATATACGTGCGAGAAAAGATGTTTCCGATTTCTCTATCCAAAATCCAAATACCGAAAAACATTAGCAGTATATCCACCTTTAAGATAAATTGATCAAAACAGAGCCAGAAACTTTATTACTTACAAGCAAGAAACAGGCTCATAGATCTCATTATATTGTTGCGTGCGTACGGGTTCGTAATGGACTCAATGTACAAGTCGATAAAAAGTTAATAAATTTTTTCTTATCCCATGAAATAAAACAAAATACTGAAATATCCTCAGAGATATTCTTACAATATCGCAATATCTCACAGTAGTTCTATTTTGACCTACTAAAATATAAATAGAACTCAGTTCAAAAACACAGAGAAAGCTAATCCGATCTCATCGCGAATTCGCTACAATCAGAAACAACATTAAGTAAACAACTGAATTGAGATGTTTTCTTTCCGCTTTTATAAACTTTTTAATCATGCACGAGAACATTATCGTATTTTCCCGATTTTTCTGGATAGCAAAAAAGTACAATTACAATTATTTATTAAAATGTTAAATGCGCGTGCTCTTGTATTTAATTTTTTCGGTTTAGCTTTCTCTTCAAATAAGTTTTGTGCTGCATTGCACGAGAATATAAAACAATTTTAATTACAAATTCTACTAAAAATAGCTAAATAAATACAAAATCCGTAAGAATATGTTCACCTTTCGTAGTTCCTTAAACTGAATTTTTATTTTAAGTTCTTGCGTGTTATACACGAAGTTTTAATTTAAATTTATAAATGATTAATGCTAGTAGATTTTTCAGCTAAGTATTTGGTAATAACAAAATTTGTTTTCAGTTTTTTGTACTTGCTTGGACACTAATGTTGTTTTGCATGAAATTTTAATATTACCTAGCGCTCATTTTTGAGCCATTATTTCATTGATTGTTTTTACTTTTGGGTAGTATGTTAACCTCGATGTCCCAAGTAAGGTCGCACAGCCAAAAAGTCTGAATTCCACTGCTATAGCTTATAAGATATTTCTCCCGTCTTCTTAGCATACCTTCATAGTGTAATGGTCAGCCCGCTCGACGCGTATCCGAGAAGTCCGTGGTTCGAGTCCCAGCCAGGGCATTGCTCATTTTTCATCTCCCATGCTTTCAAAAAATAACCTAATATCTCTACAAGCTTAACTCTTTTTAGTTTCTGAGCTTATGCAACATTTCGTGCATTTTCCGTTTTTAATTGCTTATTTAACAAAAACCGGCATCTTGTAAAAGAGTAATATCAATTTACAACACAAAATTGCTTAAAATATTTAATTAATACTGTTAATTATAAAATTTTAATTTCTGAAATAAATGCTTTTATTAATTATACATGTACCCGTGGTAACAAAAATGGTTTCTTAATTTTAATTAAACTGAACAATTATTTAAAATGTATTTTTCACATATCCGACAGTTTAAAAATTCTAATCAAAAAGCAAATTTTTATTCATTTTTTTAATTTCAAAAGAAAATTTTGTTCATTTTATGCTATTTTAAATATTGAAAAAGCTTTAGCTGGATCTTTTGCAGGAAATTAAAGTAAGGAAAATTTGCTTAGAGCTCTTTGCTTCTCTTTTCTGTAAACTGAATCTGTTATTTTCGGTAGAATCGTGTCATTTGATTCTGTATGCATTATGTAAAATTCTATAAGTGGGATTTTTAGAAACTGTAAAAATTTTTAAAGAACCTGTGCACAAATATCTACGGAATATCTGTAGAGATGTGTGCTGTACTCTGTGCATACTTTGTAGAAGCTATATCTGAAGTTTTATAGAGTTCTGCAGACGATCTCTGACCTGTTTTAGAGAAAATTGGTGATCATTTTAAAGATTTCTAAAGAAGTTTAACGTTTAATTTTTTTAATAGAAATCTCTAAGATATTTTCCTAAAAGAAAATAGGTCTAAGCAATAAATGAATGACTATGAACTTTGACCCTTTAGTCCACATAGTGTGAAACACAAAATTATCTTAAAGCTGTTAATAATTTTCAATAAATGCACACGTCTTTTGTAGATCTCGATATAGCCTGCCAATTTTCAGACCTGCACAAAACAAAAACTGGGTTTTGAAGATGCCTTTGTGGATAACAACAGTTTTAAAACACATAATACTCAGCAGCAAACGACGGTTTAAAATATTCTCAAATTTTCCAAGTCAGCAGAATTATAATAGCGCGAAGATAGCCATTTCCGTAACAACCACTTGCGATTTCGCAATGCGCTAAAAATAAGGTGTAAAGTGTTCTGGAGGGTTTCCAAATTCTCCTCTTTGTAGATAAATATTCTTTGGAACTTTCTCGATGTTCAGAGCTCACTGCCAATGCTAAACAGGGGATTGTTAAAAGAATAAGATGAATTGCTAAGTAACATTGTGTTACGTAGCTACGCTCGTATCTTACTACTTAAGAAATATAATGGATGACACTTAATTAAATGATACTTGAAGAAACGTAAAACATAAAAAAATCTGAAAGGTTTCAGATTTTAAATTACGTCTAAAGGGGCGTTTTTAGTCCACAGGAGTAATTTGCCCTGAAAGACTATTAATTTCGTTTTGGCATTTTGCGGTTAAAACTTTAATAGGCTGTATCACTTTTCAAATCATTGCCACTATATATTATCGCCCTGTCTTATATTTAAAGAAATTAAATAATAAAGAATCTGCATAAATGTATGTATGTTTCTCGCATTGTGATAAAACAACGGTACCTAGGGCCATCAAAATTTGAATAACGTAATCTTCCATAGAATATGGGCATGTGGAAGCCCTAATTCGAATTTGAAACTTTTTTATTATTGATTTCGGATTTTGTAACACTTCAACGAATTTTTGATTAAAAAAAATAAACGATTTCAAAGCAATGACAACACTGTACGAAAAAAAAAAAAAAAAGCATTTTTATCTCCAGACTCTGTATCGGAAATTCTAAAGATATGCTGATTTTAAAATTAATTTGCGATATTGCTGTTGATTGAATTTTTATGGTTTGAGTGCGAAAAACATGATATGTAATAAATAAAGTAACACACAAAATGTTTAAAAAAAATTTAAAAAAAAAAAAAAAAAAAAAAAAAAAAAAAAAAAAAAAACGCCCTTTTGGACGTAATTTAAAATCTGAAACCTTTCAGAATTTTTGTCTTTTTTTTAGTGTTTTGGGTGTTACCTTTATTTATTAAATATCCTGTTCTTCGCACTTAAACCATAAAATTCAGTTCAACAGCAATATCGCAGAATAATTTTAAAATGAGCATATCTTTAGATTTTCCGATACACAGCTCCGCGCCGCTGGAGATAAAAAGTTTTTTTTTTTTTTTTCCCCTCGTAGAGTATTGCCACTGGTCGCTTTCAAACCGTTGTGTTTCGTTCAAAAATTCGTTAAAGTTTTTTTTAGAAAATATGAAATAGAAAATAAAGCAATTTTCAAATTTGGGCTTCCAGATGCCATATTCGGGTAGAAACGTACGTTATTCAAAACTGAATGGCTCTAGATGGATGGATGCCAAAACGAAAATAATAGTCCTTCAGGGCAAATTGCCCTTTGGACTAATAATGAAATACGCACTTTTGAAAGGGAGATTATGTCTTAAATATCTTATGTCTTTTAATGTTTTAACACAATGGTCTCAAACTGGCCTTCCCCAAAAGAATTTTATGCCGCCCGCGAATAAGTTTCCTGTAAATAAATTACCATTACATGATGAAAGGTGGAAGAAGAAGATTTTAACGATTTAGAGCAAAATTTAACGATTTTCATTACTAGAAACGAACGAGAATAACGCTTCACAAAATCTACAAACAGAGCTAATTAATTCACGCTAAGATATAAATCTTATCCAAAAATTTGAAGATACAGATTTAACTAACTTTTCTTCATAGTTGTCAAAAGATAAATACCCTTGGAGTACATTTAAATGAGAACTTTTTTACCGTAGTTAAAAATTAGTAAGTCTAAAGAAACGAACCAGATTTCTGATGAGCATCTATAAGCCGCGATGAAGATGTTTTCTAGGGATTTTTCGCCAAATTTACAAACTTTATAAAAATGGAAACGCCACGAGGAGTTGTAACCCTGAGCTGCAGTAAAAAATAAAGAAGTTTATAATTACTTACACACAGATATGTGTTTTTTCTGTATGCCCAGTAGAAAACTGCAATAAATAAAAGAAAGAAAGAATGGGTCGTAATTATTTATTCTCAAGTTTTGTCCCTTTTGGGAAGTTTTAGTAATTTTCTTAATTTTATTTCAAGTTAAAATGTAAGCTATTTAGTGGTTACTTCAATACTGTTACAAATTTGTACACATGTCAGTAATTTTATATAAATTATGTGTGAAACTGCAGTATTTTTTGTATCATGAAACATGAAATGCTTAAAAGATACGAAGCTCTTCCGAAAAAATTAGATACAGGGGCAAGTCTATTTAACATTGAGCAAATGGCTATCTCGCTAATTTGGCGAGATATGCCAAGCTGGCAAAGGTTTTAAAAATTACTTTTTGTCGACAAACTTGGACAAAAATTTCCCAAAGTCGCCAAACTTGTTTTGGTTCGGTCCCTGTATAATGTATTTTTTATTGCCAAATCAGGAAACAGAAACTTTTGACACTTCAGGTTAATACGTATGACGTCATAATTTAAATTTAATGTAATATAACAACATTTTCTCAATATCAATAAAAGAATTAAGTGGTTTTAGAACTAAGCAATTTTCTAACGGATTGCTACGGCTCTCTCTCAACAACAAATTGGTTTGCTATTTAAACTCAAGCTAATTTGCATTCTGATGATGGAGGACGAAGAGATAGAAGCTAGGGAAAAGAATTAACATAAAAATACCATGTTGGCTAAAATATATGTTTTGCTGTTTTCAAGTCTGAATAATTTATAAATCCATCAATAGGGAAAGAGACAATTTATTTGACTCCTAACATTTGCAACTCTGTCTAGTTAAATATGAAAGGCTGTATATTACCTGTTATTCTGCCTGGTCTAGTGCCCCTCATCTCCATCATACGCTTCCCGAAGAATCCTGCCACATGTGCTCCTAAGCTGAATCCGACGACATGCAAATCCTTTTCCATGATACCCAAATTATCCTTTATGAAATAGTAAAGGAAAGCACCTTGGGCCCCAACCAGTTCAGAATTAACGGCTGCGGCGATGTAGTACGGTACCCTGGCTCCTAGACTCCAGTCGATTATGATAACGTTCACATCCATCTGCAAAATTATGAAATATACTTTGAATTACTTCCAGTAGTTAAGTTTGTGGGATTCCCCATTGTGTACTTCTAAGTTACAGTTGAATGTGAAGAATCTTAAGAACTAGTAAGCGAATAATCGCTTGAGTTCGTGTACAGGAAACAACAAGTGAAATAACGCTTTATTATTCCAACTAAAGTTTAACAGAACTCCGTCTTTGGAATTTACAATAAAGTCGACACTCGGGCTTGAACTTAGGAAACTAAGAACTAAACTAAACTAAACTAAAAAGATATGGCCGAAGCTATCAAAATTCTAACAGAGTTGGCCCTTTAACGCTAATTGACTGCGAAGCTATCAAAGTACGGCGGAGCGTAATAATAGCTTACGAGAGAGTAGTCTAAAAAGGCGGACGCGTGCTAGCCAGAATATCTGGTATCTCTCTGACTAAGACAGTAGAATTTCGCGGTTAAATACCGCTCTTCCTTAATTTACATTCAGACGTGATTTTAAAACTACATTCTGGCCGGAAGTGGTAAATTGAAATTAAGAAGCAACAGGAAAGGAAGTTTAAATCAAAATTTATCTGTTAATAAAATTAACATAATCCTTATAAGTTTATATTTCTCTTTCTATGTTCTCACATCATATATATTCATTCATAGGCTCATACATATTCTTCAATCCCAAAAATATTTTTCCCAAAATATATGCATATATATTCTAATACGAATACTGATTTTAGATTTTGTATACCGTGTGTTAAATATCTTCTAATGATTAATTCTAGCAGTGAATATCCCCAAAATATGTTAACAAAATTCTTAGCGTATGTTTTTTATAATGATCGTTCACCTCGTCTTACACATACTACTACGCAAGGTCAGTAGACAAAGGTGGTTATGCTCTATCCAACGCTAGACTTTAATAGAGTCACTTTTAGAAGCGGGAGAAATGAACTCCCTATTGCATTTAAAGGAGAAGTTCCATTGGAGGAGAGTATGAATCAGTGACGTCACACGCACAATAATTTTTAGTCAGGAAGAGCAAAACCTTATACTACAGTAACCTTATAAGACATTTCTCCCGCCTTCTTAGCATGCCTTCGTGATGCAGTGGTCAGCACGCTTTACGCGTATTTACGCTTTACGAGTTCCGTGGTTCGAGTCCCGGAGAGGGCATTGCTCATTTTCATCTTTCCTGCTTCCAAAAAATCCTAATGTCTCTACAACCTTGCTAGTGATAATAAAGTATCGGAAATGAATCCTCAAAACACAAAAATTAAAATTATTGATGAATATTCCCTTCAAATTAATTCTTTTGAACTGCAATGTCTTTCTTCCAACTTTTCTTCGAATATTAATTTAGAAGTCAAGTAGCAAAAAATATTTGCAACTTTGAGGTTTGTGAGAAATTAAAATTATATTTTAGAATTCTCTCTTATGCTTCTGATAAACTATCACTAGAAATATTAACTATTGGCTTAATATTTACAATGGGAAGACTTTTTTGAACTACTTAAATTGAAAGACTGTAAAAGAAGTTTTTCGAATTTGAATGCAAGGGTGTTTTTTATGACGGTTAACTACATTCTCAATTCTAGACCAAGACTTTTGTTCAATAGCAGTGAATTTTGGATACGAATTAGCGAGTTTCAGATTCTTCGAATCTTCGAAACATGTTTTAAAGACTTTTTGGGGAAACCTTTTCACAAGTTGCAGCGAATATGTTTTATTGCATCAACAAACTCAATACGAGCGATGACAGTAATCAATCAAATTAACTGAATGTTTGGCCAAAAATTCATAACAAGAGAATTATGGGCAGAGACAATACCGTGGTAGAAAATCGTTAAAAATTGTAGAGTTTAGTGTGGTTTGCAATCATCCAAAGTGCCCAAACTCTTGGTAACTATTAAGCGACTTATCGCTAAGTGACTGAGATAATTATCGCTGAAACACGAGAAAGGTGCAAAAGACTGTTTAAAACTAAATAAAAACAGAATGCGCACTTTGTGCTCACAACTCAACCATTCACTTGTAGGGAGATAATTCAAAGTAATAGTAAGTGTCAAATTTACTTTCAAATAAGCTAGTAGTCGAAAGCTATACAAATCGATTAACGTGAAGTTGGCTCAAAACGTAACTGGTGTGGATATCAACTAACGGGCCATTATAATGCAAGGCCCCAGACTGCAAATCGTGCCTCGAAAGGCAGAACACGCTCTGTCTAACAATCTAAAAAACTTCATCTTAAGTACACGTGAACGACATTTGCATTCTGGTGAGAAAACGGTAAGGAGAAGTGACAATAAAAAATCCCTAACATAAAATAACTGGTTAATTTACATAAAGGAACCTTATAAGGTATTTCGTCCTACTCGCTTACTCGAATAGGACGAAATACCTTAAATTCATCTTCGACATATACTTTGCTTTCTTTAAACATTTACATCATTAAAAAAATATTGTTTTTGATAAAGTATTGCTTTGTAAAGATTCCTGCAGTTTTATTCGTGACAGAAATTTTGTTGCGAAAACAAAATTTATTATATGTTCTTTGTTCAGATACGTTCGCTATTGTGGGAAATCTATAAAGCGAAAATTCTTTGTTCATTGAAAACAAATTTATGTTTATGAATGTGGTACGAGTTAATTTGAAAAAACTGTGTTAGCAATTTGTTATCCGAGCTTTAGTTTAGAATACTCTCTGCATATACTTTGTGTAAATACTGCTCGAAAATAAACTGCGCCGCTCTTTTCCAAGCTTCCACCTTGCTAATAACTCTTCGCTTTTGCTTGACCGTCTAAACTGCTTACGTCTTAATTTTAAGAATCAATGTACATGGACATTTATCATATTTAATTATGATTGAATAAATTTCTGCCAGATTAATTGGATATGTGTAAAAATAAAGACTGAAAATTCTTGAAGTTCATGTTTTATTGTCTTCATCCGTATGCCTTAACCACAGCCATGACGGACACCGAAAGTTACTGTGCTTAGAAATACAACATATATATGTAAGAAATATAAAGAATACGTAAAAGATTAAATTAGCAGCGTAAATTAATTTCCGTTCTCTATTCTAAAAATAGCAACACCTATTTGCACTGCGTCATTTCGAGAAAAATATATGTCATATGACTCTTACGTAATTATGATAATGTGAATTGAATTACAACTCAAGCAGCCAATAATAATTTTACAGCAATATTAATTATCCAATCAAAATGCTTTGAGAACCAAAACTAAGTCTGACTTGCGATTTCATCGTGAATATTACGCACTTTCTTTACAGGCTTTGCCGTAGCTGAACTTCAGTCTGTCTGCTTCTTCTTTTTTGCTGCAAATATATCAAAAATGTAAGGAACAGTCACAGCAGTCTTTGGTGTCCCGACTTATGTGTAGCAGCTACAGGTTGCTGAAAATAAAACTGAAGATTTAACCTGCATTCGCCTCCAATTTCCTAGTCATTATGGGTATGGGATTCCTAGTCAAAACTTATACGCGATCTAAATTTCTGCTCCTGAAAATTTACATATATAATCTGAACACCAAAAGCGGCGTTTTTTCACAGGACGATTCAAAACGGGATTTGAAAAGTGATACAGACAATAATACCGTTAGACATTGTAACTTTTTTGCACTGCTACGCCACCAACATAATACCAGTAAGAAATATATATATATATATATATATATATAAATAAACCTTACACATAAAATATCCGTGCTTGAAGATGCACGCGACATTAATGGAACGCTTTGAAATCGTTGAGTTTGTTGATTAAAAATTCTTTCAAGTTTTAATAAATATGAAATAGATAATAAAACAAATTCCTAATTAGGGCTTCCATATTTCCATATTCGAGTGAAGGACTACGTTATTCAAAATTTGATGTCTCTAGGTTTTTTTCACAGTTTCATACATACATTCATACAGTTTCTTCATTATTTAATTTCTTTAAATATAATGCAGGGCTCTAATATTTAGTGGCAACAATTTGAGAAGTGATTCAAACTTTTATAGTGAACCAAAGCAAAATGCCAAAACGAAATTAATAGCCCTTTCTGGGCTAATAATTTGTTTAATTTGTGATCATAGTTGTGTACGTAGTATTTAAAAAAAATGCTGTATTAATTGCCTGCCGAATGATTGGTTGTAGATTCGTGATTCTAATTTAAGAAACTATGAGATATTTTTCAAATCTGCAGAAAAAAATAATTTCGATCACTTTTAATAAAAATATGCAAATTTCATACGACTCCGTGCAAGAAGAAGATTCCCAGAAATAGCTTTTCGATATTAAATTAGTAATGTTGTATAGTCACTGGGAATCTTTGCATTAATATTCTTATTATTTATTTTACCAAACGAGTTAAGCAAAAGTAGGAAATAAATAAGTCATTTAAGATAACATATTGCCTTCTAAATCATGTCTTCACTGTTAAGGACTTTGACAGTAAAAACAATGTTATAAAAGCGTAAACTTTTTAAAATACTATCTTGCGACAAATTACTAATAGCTCATGATACAATTATAACCAAAGAATCTGTGGAAAGCATAAGACATGAGTCTATTGAAAAGTTCTCACTTAAATTAGTAATAAACTTGACGAACTGCATAACATTTAAAAGAATGTCCTAGATTAAGAATTTCTAGAGAACTATAATTGATCTAGCCAGTGTTACAGATATCACATAATTTCGTAAAGTATTCTCACCTACCTTTCTGCATGCCTTCGTGGTGTAACTGAAAGCATGCTCGATGTGTATTCGGGAAGTTCGGAATTCGAATTCCATGCGAATTTCTTCAGTTTTCTGACATCGAAAAAATTTTAAATGATTCTACAATTTTTTTGCCCACCAGCGGCTGCTAACCACTGATATTTCCCATCTGGATTCGATTCCAGGGGAATGGGCTGACTGTATGGGCGTTTTCGTGGTTTTCCTCCTGTGTAACGTGTATACGAGCCATTTTCGCTTAGAAAGTCCTCCACGAAGGCATCCCTCC